AGTTTGAGTTGACCGCATTCTCTGGCGGTGATGTTGGCGCCGTTGCCTATGGTAATGTTTGCCTGGATCGGTAGTTGTTTGATTCCAGTGAGTAGGTTCCTGTCGTGGACCATGTGATGAGTAGCTCCAGAGTCTACGACAATGTCGAGTGCAGACGAGTGGGCCAGAAGGGCATTGTGATCGATGGTGATGCTTGCCATGAAAGCAGAGCCGGCGTTGATGCCATAATGTTGACTCCTGTTGCTTACGAGTGCGGCGATGTTGGCACTGTTGTTTGTGTACCTGTTGGCGTTGTTGCCGGTACTGAAGTTGGCGGGCTTGGTGAAACAGTTTGCTGTTGAGTGTCCATTCTTCTGATGGAACTCGCAGAAGGCATTCTCGTCAAAGGGAGATCGAGGAATAAACTTCTTCTTGTTTCCGGTGCCGCCGATGTTGTTGTTGTTGTTCCGTCCTTGTTGACGGGCAGCGATGAGAGCCGTAGTCTCAATTCCTTCTTCCTGAACAATCCTCCTCCTGTACTCGGCTCGGACGGCATCGATGACGTCTTGCGAGTGAAAGTCCTCCTTGAGATAATAGGTCTGAACGAGGGTTTCGTAGGAAGGAGGAAGCGACATGAGGATGGCAAAGGCAAAGTCCTTGTCGTCCATCCGGGATCGGCCAGAGACGGTGATAGCGGAGTAGGCCGACTTGAGTTTTCCGGTATGGACAGTCGGATCTTCTCCTTCCGCGAGTTGGGATCGCCAGATGATCGCAAGAAGTTCAGCCCGCCTGGATCCCCTTGCGGCCGAGTAGGTTTCCTGAAGATGTTTAAGTAATCTTTCAGAAGCAGAAGGAAGCGTCGCTCTGTACTCATCAGTGTGAGCGGAGTCCCTTTGGACCAGAGCGTGCCAGGTTGAGAGGTGAGACGGGAGGTTGTGATGGACAAGCTGACTGAGGCTTCCGTCGATGATTCCGAAGGCCTTCTTGTCTTTCTTGATCCATTTCGCAAGTTCCTCGGCTGTAGCTGGAGTAGTGACCGTAGTAGTGGTAGTAGTTGGAGCATTGTCCGTGCCGGCGGTGGCAGCCAAGGTAGAGATAGGTAGGGTATTAGGTCGAGGAATAGTTCCATCAACAATGTCGTCCAGATCCTTATCGATCAAAGTGTTTTGAATCGAGCGGGACCATTCCGCGTAATTGTCGGGACCCTCAAGGTAAGTCCGCTTGGTAACCTTGAGAGTGTCGAGGTCGAGACTGTCGGCCATGATGAAACTAAGTCGATGTTGAAGAAGGTTGGGTGATGTAAACTAAGGTGATGGCCCGTTGAGCTCCGTTGGTAGAGCAGCCGACTCTTAATCTGTTGGATATCGAGTTGATCACCGCTGTATAGTTTGCATGAAGATGTAATTACAAGGTGATCTATCAAAAGGGGATTGAAAAGGGCCAGTATATATATTGTTCAGGACAATAGGAGTTGGCGGCGAAGCGAGCGAGCGAGCGAGCGAGCGAGCGAGCGACAAAGCGACAAGCGGAAAGCGGAAAGCGAGAAGCGAGAAGCGAGAAGCGACAAAGCAAGCGAGCTCGGCGAGAGATGACAAAGCGAGCGAGCGAGCGAGCGAGATGAAACACAGGGGAACAAAGGCGTGAAGAGTGGATCCGCTATTGTTCCGCGTGATCTATTGTTGGGGAACAATAGGCGCGCGCGAGACAATGGATTTCGACAATACTCTCTCTGCTTCGCTTGCCTCTAGTAGTCGCGACGATCGAGCCATCGGTCTCTCCGGAATTGGAGGGCTTCTGGAGTCGAGTTTTCGCCACCCCGGGCGTGAGGCGAACCGGCGAAACGGCGAAAACAGGCAAGTCCCTCCACTTCTCGCTGGAACAGGCAAAGCAGTCCTCGATCACACGAACCTCGCCCGCTAGCGAGGCCATCTTAAACAAAGCGAGTCGGAAATATACGTCAGCGCAACTGACGATCCAAACGCGAGAGACATGACTCACCTCCGGATCGGTCGCAAGCATATCCGCCACAGTCAACTTGATCCTAGCGGTACGGCGAGCCTTTTCTGCGAAAGCCCAGAGGTGGGGCACGTCGAGGTCGGGTTGAGGGAGAACATCCTGGTCGTCCGCTACATCCTTAGTGATGGCCCCGGGCAGATCGATCCGCCGAGACGACTGTTCGTAGATTCCCTCGAGTGCGTGTATATCGAGTCGATGTCCGAGGAAGTGCTTGGTAAGGGCAGGGCCGATCGATTTGATGAGGGATGCGAGTTGACGTCAGAATGGTCAGCTGAGAAAGTCGCTGTTCGGTCAGACAATGCGACTCTGCGTGTGACCTACCTGTCGCTGTACCTCGACGAATCGAATAGGGAGTAGCGTGGACAACTTGACCGTCAGCTAGAGTTGGGTTTAGACCCGAAGCCTCTACAGCCTGGTTGAATTGAGATTCCAGGCTACCAGAAGTCATCGGAAGGTCGTCTGCCTTCAAGCCCAAGCCGGAACCTTGTTTCGGCTTGATGAACAGCGCGCGATTCTTCTCGCCAATAGAGACGGGGGGGTTGCTTCTACCGTTCATGGGTCCGAACCCCGATTGGTTGGCAAGACGAGTCAACTACAATAGTACAATAGTACGATGTAACAAAAGCTGGATGCATCCTTCAATAAGAAGAAGAAGGAGTTGTCGTTACGACTGTATACACGGGCGAGTATGGATTATATTTCGTTTCCAGCTTGTTCCAGGTAGGAGGTCGATATCCTCATACCGAGGCAAACGGATCGGACCGAGCAGAGCGAATATAGCGAATAAGAAAATCATATAACTCGGACTAGCTACACTATCAACTCGAAACACGAACACAACCGATTCACATTCCTCTATCCTGCCTATTACTCTAGTACTATACTGACACGAAGCTCTATACTGTATTGTATAATAGATCTATCCTCAACCTTGTTAACGAAATCTTCTAACCTAATGTATCCTTGGATTCCGCTGAAACCCGACCGCGACGAGCGCGAAGAGCGAAAATAAAAATAGGACCTGGGGTTCGGTCTGTACTGATTTGAAGCGAGGGGCTCCGCTGCTGGTCTCGAGAGAGCCGGTTACGTTGCGGTATCGCACTGGAATGATGAAGGTGACCGTTTCGCCTTCCCGAGAGGGGGCCGGAAGCGAGGCTTCAATGTCTTAGCCTGGGATGAGAGGGACGACGATGACGACGATGATGTTGGTGAAAATAGTGATGGTGACGGTGATGCGCTGAGCGCGATCAAGACGAGGCATTGAGAATTCCCTTCTCTAGGGTGTATCGCGTTCTCGGGTCGATCCCGAGGTCCGGCGTGATCTTATGTGAGGTGGGTCCGGTTCGTGACCAAGCGCCAGCGATCATGGTGTCCGATCGGCCCGGTTCGCAGGGGTAAGGATGATAGCGATCTGGACCTGTGGGTGGGTCGCTTGAATTGCGGAGGCTTGACGGTGCGTTCGACCGTAGGGTATGTATAAGTATCCCGGTCGAAATGATCTGGGCCGGAATAGCCTGGGGAGTTGTGGACCGAGATGGCCCGGCCCAGATCAAGCAGCTGCTATCTGTGGTGGGGTACGGAGGACGCCGCCGGATGCAGCGACGGCGGATATTATGGGAGGCAGGTCTGCGGATGAGATGCGAGTTCCAGTGAGGAGTGCCAGTTCGAACCGGTCTTGGCGAGTGGGGTAAATGGTGTAGTGATGGTGAGTGAAGCGGTGGAGATGTGGTATGAGAGTATTCGGATGAGAGCTCGAGCGACCAGCGCTCGATGGCTGCTCGAAACGACGGAGGTAGTGTTGAAATGGCGAGGACGGCAAGGATGATATCAGAGCACGAGCCTGATACACGACGTAGGAATGATACGAGAGGTGGGTAAGCCAAATGAGACTATTCAAAGCAGATTATATGCAAAACCTACTCGGGAATGCCATTGATGTATTTGAGCTCGAAGCTATCCCTCCGAAGGTATCGCTGGCCGGTTTGCGGCCAGACGGCCGGAACGCGCACATATACAAGCCTAATGGGCCGACGACAATCAGCACACGCTCGGAGAAGAAGTACAACTGTGACCGAAACTCACTCGTAGCGTTCGTATTCGGAGTAACCGCTCCACGAAGAACCGTCGCTCCAAAAGGAGTCCGTTTGGGTAAAGGTCGAGTCGGACGCCGAAACGGTCTCCTTTCCTCGAGAGTTGTCGCTCGAAGCCTCCAACGACTTCGTGTCGGTGAAGGTCGAGTCGGACGTCGAAACGGTCTTGGGTGCGAGGGAGAGATACGCGGGGTGAACGTGCGAGCAGACTGGAGACGTGCAGTTGGTGAGGTGACAGGCCATCTCGACGACGGCAGGTCGAACAGGGAGATGATCGTTCTTGCCGAACGACTTGATTTTCTGCCAGGCAGCCCGGATGGTTTGAGTGGTGAAAGGGCTCATATTGATTGGAGAGTAAGATCGTAGGTGATGGGTTGATGTAGGAGTTTGTGAGGATGGAAGACTCTCACACTGAAGATTCTGAAGAGGTAGAAGGTAGTGTCGAGGTGGGAGGAAACATGTATGCGACGAGAAGGGAGAGGGGGGATTATATAGACGATCTCGACTGGCCCAGGCGAGGGGGTTCGTCGACGCGCCATCCGGAAGGGCAACGTCGCCGATGACGTCGAAGCGCCCGTAGATTCTGTAGTCATGGGACCAGAAGATCGTACATAAGATGATTAGACTGAGGTGAGGTGCGGGGTGGTCAGGTACTGGTCGCTAGTCGCTAGTCGCTCCTGGTTGCTCGAACGAGCGCGAGACGAGAGCGAGAGAAGGTCAATCAACCTCGGTCATCGCGCGGACGGAGGCTTCTTGTAAGGTCACGTGACAGTTTGAACGACGTGTTCTCACGGAAGCTGTTCCCTGACGCGCGGGCCTTAGCGCGCGCTTGCGAAATACCGTGAATTGATACGCGCAGGTTACGGTTTGACAAATAGAACTCATATATCTACCTCAAAACTTGCTTCTTACTTTGCCCGCGTGGCGCAATGGTTAGCGCTTCTCACTTCTATTCCTCGTAGATTATGAGAGGGCTCCGGGTTCGAATCCCGGCGGGGGTTATTCCTTTTTAACCTGCATTTAATGCCTTTTTTTGGCCTGAAAATCGACGCGTTTTGACCCTGTCCGTCGAAACGTCGCGAGAATCGATGGTTCCTTCTCGGTCGCTTGACTAACGACATTCACAGCGGTTAGACGACAGGTAGCACATGTTGGATTCTCTCTCGAGAAGTACAATGTAGGGCACGGTATGGTATAGCAAATCTTCAGCTTTCGATGACTGAACACGTTGGCGGTAGCGTCAATGCGAACGCTGACGAGTTCATTCGCAAAGGAAGGCAGACCATTCTGGGTCAATCATGTCGAAGGATGTCTCGTTACCTTTCGTGAAACCCAGATTCATATTGCTAGTGTCATCCCCTTGAAGTAAAGGGAGATCAGATTTCGGGTCGATTCCGAAGTATTTTGCCGCAAGCGCGCGCTCACTGTGAGCGGATTTCCCCCGTGTTTCAAATTCATGATGTGCCGGGCGCGGGGCTTAAATCGGCCGGTCATCCATGGAATAACAGCAAAGGTTCAGTAAAAACTTTGTTCATAACGTATTCCATGTCTGAGCCTCGCTTCGACTGTATTCTGACGTGTTCAAGAACAGCCGATGATGCCAATTTGAAACGTGCGTCAGCATCATCGCGCTGAGGTTGTAGCCATCTCATCTCCTTGGCCTGCTTGCAGGAACTATCGACCAGCGACTGTAGTGAATCGTATATAAAACGCTGAGAAGGTTAGGTCTGCATACGACAGGTCGATACAGCGATCATCAGAATGTATCATGCTTCAAGAAGTATCGAGAAAGACGTCGATCCAAGCTCTGACGTCATTCGTTGATCGCTTGGCGGAGAACAAAAGAAAAGTTTCTGATCGAATCGAAACGCGTTGGTCATCAGAATTTTCAAGGAGAGGGACACGATCAAGATCGATTGATTGGTCAATTGACACCCACGTTCAACGATATCACCACTACTCGATCTATCTTGCTCGGACTGCCGTTACTTGATGCTTGACACGTTGATATACGCAGACTGATTTAGATATCGCGTTACGAGATATCTCCGCTACCACCGCAATAGATCACACCGAACTGCCATCTTCGCCATGTCTTCGGCTTTCTACTCCTCGTCGATCCCGGATGGGACCACCTCTACGATCTACGAAACAGCCCCACAACGCGTCTATCAGATGCCCGAACTCCTTCATATCATTGTACATTTTCTGGAAATGGAAAAACAGGACCTCGTCAACCTCGCATTGGCAGCCAAAGAAGGCTTTCCCGTTCCTGCTTCGGAACTGTACGCTCGCTCCAGCCATCAATGTCTTTCCAGCTTGTTCGACCAAGGTTGCAATTCAGTGAGTGGTGGGTGATCTGGGTGAATGAAGGTGGTCCTTTCGCTCCATGTCGAATTGATCTTTTTCCGGTTTACCATAGGATCGCTTTGCGATATACATCAAAGGAGTACGCGACCTGGAGATACCTACAATCGACACTGCCGATCAAGATCGGCCGGTTTTGGATCTTCCTCGATGGTTAGGTCAATACCCTGGATTGAGAAGAATACGCATGAGGTTGAATGGAGGGAACCTCTATTCGGTCGATCAATATCATTATCAAGGACGGGTTGTTAAAGTCGAGGGCTTTAGGACCCCACAACTTGGGCAGGGCAATATCTTGGCTGCCGATCAACCACCCTTCAAATTGCTAGGTTATCCCGCAGTCACATGGCTAGGATGCCTCGAGCTCTGGACCCGAGAACTTCCGCCGTCTGATTTGCCGCTGGTACTCGATAGCATCGTCAAGGACCTCGAACTACGATCGACGCTTCGACCTTCTCTTTGGAGTAAACTTCGCACGCTGGACTTGAAGGGGCTAAACCTGCCGCTACCAAGTCTCGAGGTATTGCTTGGCGGATGTCCCAACCTAGCCAGGCTATCGTGCACCTTATCTTGCTCAGGTAGCGACGCGGCCAGATATATGACTACCCTGACCGATATACTTCGAAGATCAGGACCGAGCTTGACTCGTCTCAGCTGCAAAACGAAAGGGGCCTGTGTGCTCATGTTCGCTCGACACCTCGGAGTTATTCCTGAACTAATAGTAAATGGGACTCTGTGGTGGGCCAGAACTAAGGTAATGGCGGAGAATGGCTTGCGCATCGCAGAGCCCGTACCATTGAAAGATGCGAAGGTCGGTTGCGTCCATTTGCTTCTACGCATGCCAAGAGGATGGCTGCAGCAATCGACCCATGAGATCCCCGTACCTCACGAAGTCGCCCAGTACATCCGGAACATCTTCCCGCCAAGTGCCTATATCGATGTTTACGGTGCAGACTCGGATAGTGGTTTGACCAGTCACGAAAACCTATGGACAGAGATCCTTCGGGTGACTGTGAGATCGTTGGAGGCAAAAGATCACGAGAAAACGGGGGCAGAAAGCGCAGCAGTGATGGCGGTGTCGTGAATACGGGCGAGGATCTACTTTGCGGTGTCGAGCGCGTCTGTTCAGCGTTCCTCTCGCTCTCGACACATGCGACAACAGCGCTTCTCTAGACGTTTAGCCGGTTGTCAGTTTCTTGCTTTCAAAAATTGGACATGAAAAAAATCACGGAGACCTCGCTTCCTCACATAACAACTTGCAAATCGATCACCTCACAAACAAAACCAAGACAGACTATCAGATAAATTTGGAATACAATCGATCGCATCCCGTCTGCATTTCCTCACAAACAAACTACACATTATTTGAAGGGGATCTCGATCGCTAGATTGAGCTTTACTTTCCACCAGAACCGAGACAGGGCTCGACAACAACCGTGATGACGCAGATCAAGCCCGCTTCTGCTCATCGACAAAGATGTCGTTCCCCTTGACGTCCGACCCAGCATCATCCATATCAACAACTTCGGTGTCGTTGGCCGAGCTACCACGCCCACGACCCTCGAACATTCCTCCTCCGAGCCTGTGCGGCTGGTCGAACACTGTACACGAAAATTTGCGCATACATGGACCACTGAGTGAGTCTTTTCTTCTTTGATTTCCTCTTCAGAAGATTACTTACCAATTGACGCATCTTCGGCGCTCATTCTCTTGGTTTCGGGGAAGAACAGGAAGATTATGACAAAGTAGAACGAGAGGATTCCGAGGTAGACGGCGTAGCTGCAAGACAAAGATATCGGTACAGCCAAGGGTGAGTGACGGTAACTTGAGGCGCCCGAGACGAAGAGCTTACTATTTCCATCCAATTTCTCCTAACGCGATAGGGTTGACGAATTGGTTGAAAGCATTGCCTCTGAATTGCCAAAGGTAGTCATTGCCAGAATGAAGGTAAAGTCCAGTAAGTACGCTATGCAACCCGATCCTAGAGAACAGAAAGCGCTAATCGGGTTTCGTGCGACTTACAGCGTGGCAATAGCCGTGAATAGGGCGACACCTTTGCTTCGAAGGTTGAAAGGCATGATCTCGACCGTATACGCGACCGGAAGAGGTGTGAATGCCGACGAATAGAAACCGAAGTAGCTGTCGCGGAAGGACTGGATCAGCAAAAGCAACTACGTTGTTTGCAGCCTGCAAGAAGTTCACGACACACATGAAGAGGAACGGAACGACCGCAGCTCCGACCGCCGACTTCTTGGTCATAGCGAACCCTGCCGACAGACCCATAATGGTTGCAAAGGTCAAGAACATGCCGACAACCGCGACCAAGAACAACGGCCGGCGTCCGAATCTGTCGACGTTGACGGAAGAGGTGACAGCGACGATCAAGTTGAAGATGGCTGCCAAGCAGAGAATGAGGTCGAGATCGAATGTTGGATTTAATTCGACGACGGAGTTGGAGCCGAGGAGATAGACGCATATATTCAAGGTTAACGACAACAAAGAGCAACGTCGATCTGTGAAGATGCTTACCAAGACCGACGTTGATCAAGGTTATCTTGATCGGTTCCGTGATCCCGACGCTCCTCAAGATGGGGGCCAGGTAGCTGAAATGGAACATATCGTAAGTCAAGACCACTCTCATAGGTTTCCACAAACGTACTAGCTGATGATTCCGTTGCCCATCCAGTTCAAGGAGAACGCCATGAGGATCAAGACACCCAACCTCTTTCTGTTTCCCGGCGTTCTGGTGAAATCCATAAACGAGACCTGTTGCATTTTGGCCTCCCTTTCGAGGGCGGCGTTGATCTCACGGAGTTCAAGTTGGACAAGTGGATCCTCCATGTCCCCATTGGCGTGGTACGTGGCCAGCATTTGGTGGGCTTCAGAGACCTTGCCTTGTTTCATCAGCCACTGAGATGACCGGTACCGATGTCAGTCAATGTACCGGCAAATTCGAATGGCACGTCCGACCTACTCTCGGAGACTCGGGACAGAACCACAGGATGGGCAGAATCATTCCCGGTCCCAGGATTTGCATGAGGGAAGAGTATCGCCAGCTCCAGTTTCCAGGAATGTACAGTCCGGCGACTACGCGTACAAACCAGAACCGAAGGAAGCTCGGACTCACGGTCAGCCCTTGGCACTGACGATGAGCTCATGCAAGACCACTTACAAGTAAGCAAGGCAGCTCCAATGGATCCGATATAAGCAAAAGCTACGGATCCCGCGGGAGTCGGATGTCAGCCATATGTCACACGGATCGACGAGATACGAGACAACAAGCAAAGAGGACAGCAGGACAGGCAACTCACTCTGATAGCAACTTCCCAAGATCGGCCTCAATCTAGGGTGTGCGATCTCTTGAATAAGGACAGGAGCAGCGACTTTGGACATTCCGATACCGACGCCGATGGTTGCGCGGCCTAAGGGAGGTTGAGAAACAGAAGGGCAGGGCAGAAGTAAAAGAGAGAGAGAAGCGAGAGCAGATGCGAGATCAGCTTCCTTCAATGGTCGACGAGACAGGCAGGAACGGACTTGCCTCCTATCCACATGCCCACATTGATAGCCAAGGCATTGATCAAGGTGCCAACGAATACAAAAGCCATTCCAGCAGCGATGCAAGCCCTCCTGCCGTACTTAGTCGAGATCCAATCCCCTAGGAAAGCAGAAGGTACCTATCGATGACGAGAGGCGGAAAACAATCAACTTGCGCGGTCGAGCGGATGCGCCGAGGATGGACTTACACTGGGCAGAAAATACGCTGCACTGAAATACGGAGTTAACGGAAGGCCGTGTCAGTCACTTACTAGGTTCACGCTCTACCCCAAGAGAAGACCTACCTGTAGAGACCGAGCCGAGCTCCTTTTGGAAAGTTGAAGAACTTCTGCCATGCGGGTATGGCTTGGAAACCTTGCATGAGACCGCCACCAACTGCCAGCGCATCGAGCTTGAATCATCGCGCTCCTATAGAGGATGCGACACGGAAAGGAACTTACATCCCTGATAAACAAGCAAATGAGCAAGGATCAGCGCCATGCATGACACCGGGCAAGCGTGACTTGACTCACATTGGTGGCGATCAATAAACACATCCCAAGTCTAGACGCGCGGGAGCAAGTCCGTCAACCGAGAAGATTGGTATCAAAGCTATCATGCGTGCGTGGTACTCACCCGTAAAAGACGTTCATCCGGAGGGCCGGGTCTCTATGCCATCGCGGATGGGTGTTGTCTACACATAGAGGAAAGATCAGCAATCCTCGAGGAATATGACAGGTCGATGGCTCGACTTGCTGGCAACGTCCATCCATTTGGGAGCGGCGGCGGACATGTCGGGCAGGCGAAAATGTGAGTCTTGTTTGATGATGACGCGGGGTGCCAGGAGATCGACCTATGATATTACTGCCCTTACTGCTAAGGTGTAGTTGGGGTGAAGCGGTCGATACAGTGCTGACTCTACACTTGACTTGGCCACCACGGGTACCCCAATCTCGCCTCCAGCCGCTGCTTATATAGACAGTCCTTTCAGTCTGTACCATGTCCCTTCGCCAATCACTTTCTCCACTTGGACGAAATTAGCGAACAGCTCGCTACGATCGCTACGGTTATCCTCCCGGAAGGATTTCAATCGTCCCCAGATTGGCACGATGAACCCCCCACTCGGCCCCAGCCCGTCGCGTGTCTCGCGGATCACGCTCCCCGAGCGATACGCGCGAGCCTCTCATGTGACTCTGGGATCCCGCGCTGCTTGCCGATCAGACTTCATCGATGCTCGCCTCGAGTGAGATATTACAGTGGCCGAACCAGCCTCGGTCGCTTGGACCGTCATCCGTCTAGCTCACAGGATTGACGTTGCCTTGCCCTCTCCTGTGGGCCAGAGATCTCCGTATACCCAGATGCGGCGCTCTGGATCCCTGACCTTTCGCTCAATCGCTTCTTGGCCGGACCGAGGCGAGCCGACTTTACGAGCTCACAGCGGTCACAGGGGTCCACATAAGACTACTTGTACATGAAAGAGCGAGACACGAGCTTGGATCATATCGCCCTCGTCAAGACTTCTCTGGCACGTTGATTCTACCACACGAACATTTCGCTACAAGCCGCAACATGCTCGATCTCGACTCAATCCTCCCTCAACTCACCCTGGTTGAGAAGATTTCTCTTCTCACTGGTTCAGATTTGTGGCATACTACACCTTTGGAAAGGCTTCAGATTCCTGCGGTGAGGATGACAGATGGTCGTAAGTCCCGGGTCTATCGATTCCGCGCGACCCTTGATCGTCGCGCCGGGGGAAGCGGCGAGCATGACGCTGATTTGGTTTCATATTTCGCGTGGCGGCAGCGGTCGGAGTGAGAGGTACAGCCTTCTTCGCTGGAATTGCTAGTAACTGTTATCCCGTAAGTTCCGAGTTATACTTTCTAGGTTTACGTCTTTGGAGAAGCAATACACTCGCAGAGCTAACGGGAGCCATCACATTTCCGATCTTTGAATCTGTGTCGAATCAACTGGACTGCTCCTCGCTGGACCCTTGCCTCTACCTTTTCAAACATATCAGTGTGCTACGGGTCTCGCTGCGTCTTTCGATCGGGACTTAGCGCAGGCATTCGGAGTCTCCATGGCAGCCGAATGCAAGGCCAAGGGAGCACACGTCTCGTGAGTCGTCTTACCTCTTTCTTTAGACCCGTGTACTTGATCGAAGGTGTTGACGATCTCTTGAGCGCAACATCGCAGTCTCGGACCTACAATCAATCTACATAGGTCTCCGCTAGGAGGACGGGGATTCGAATGTATCAGTGAGGATCCGGTGCTCTCTGGAGAACTCGCTGCGGGCATCATCAAAGGACTGCAATCGAACGGAGTAGCCGCATGCCCCAAGGTGAGCTCAACATCCAATACAGAAAGGAAGCGTAGGCCGCGCGTTGAGAAACTCCGACCTTGCAGCACTATCTCTGCAACGAGCAGGAATTTGAAAAGCACCGAAACAGCTCCGAAGTCTCTCAACGGGCGCTACGAGAGCTCTACCTCCGGGCGTTTCAAATCGCAATCCGAGAGAGTGACCCTTGGACTCTGATGACCAGTTACAACAAGGTCAATGGGTTGCACGTCGGGGAGCATCCCTTCCTGTTGAAACAGATCTTGCGGGAAGAATGGGGATACGATGGAATGGTCGTCAGCGATTGGTAAGCCGACGGATCAGGGGTCATGTAACGCCAACATGGACGATTTACCTACGTGGACGCACAGGTTCGGCACGTTCTCGACCGCTGAAGCCCTCGTCAGCGGAATGGACCTCGAGATGCCGGGACCATCCCTGTTCCGAGGTCAGGCGCTTCGACGAGCTCTGATAGGAGGCAAGATTGATGAGTCTCATATCGACGTGGCCGTGCGAAGGGTAAGTACGGCTACGCTGTGACATCTTCATGGGATAGCGTAATTTATAAGCTGGCTCCTCAGGTCTTGGGTTTGGCCAACCGGGCCATCGAAAGCGGGATCCCCTTTGAACAAGAAGAAGGCCTCATCGATACGCAAGAGGTCCAAGATTTCTTGAGAAGCACCGCCCAGGCCGCCATTGTACTGCTCAAGAATGAGGCCTCGCTACTTCCTCTTCAGCCGAAAAAGATCCGTCGGCTTGCCGTCGTCGGGCCTAACGCCAAGCTTCAAGTCTTGAGCGGAGGCGGGTCGGCGAGTCTGCGTGCCATCCGATCTTCCTCCCCTCTAGAAGGTATCCTTGCTGCTGCGGAGAAAGAATCGATCCAAGTGGAGTATACCCCAGGCGTCTTTGCCCATAGATATTTGCCACTGGTCAACCCGCTGGTCCGTAGCGCAAGGGGCGGGCAGGGTTATCTGGACCTTGACTTTTTCGAGACGGATCCTACGCGGTCGAGCGCAGAAGCTCAAGCTATTCATTCACTGAGCGTCGATACGGCCACCAACTTTATGGTAAGCCCCCACTCATCTACAGTCCGATACGGTCGAAGGGGTGTTCACACCTCTCATGATCTCTCTAGTGTGACAACTTGCCCAGCCATCTTCCCGCACAATGTTATATGCGCGTGTCCACGACGTTCGTCCCGGACAGCTCTGGTGTCTGGGAATTTGGTCTCGTTGTCGGGTGAGTCTTGTTCCGTCACTCAATTACAATCTCGCTCTCATTTTGGCCGCAACTCTCTCGCGCGCTTTCTGAAGCGGCCAAGCCACGCTTCTTCTGGACGACCAGCTTGTAGTCTCCAACCTCATGCCACAGACTGCTGGCGAGCTGTTCTTGCGTAACGGTTCCGTTGAAGAGCGAGGGCAAATCGAGTTGGAGCAGGGTCGCGAGTACAAGATGGTCATGCAGTGGAGCAATTTCCACCAAACCAACCCTAAGGGTGAGTACGTCCTGCGATGTGCATCACCGTGCAGTCGGGGTTAATCTTGAGCCATCAAATCCTATGGTACCCCCACAGCGAGCTTCAAGGCGTTTGGATGTTTCCGTATCGGTGCATCACCTCTTATCGATCTCGAGGAGGGAATCGTCAAAGCCATCGCTCTGGCCAAGGATTGCGATGCCGTCATCGTCTGTGCCGGACTGAATGAGGATTATGAAAGTGAAGGATGTAAGTCTTTTCAAAAATATCCAGCTAGGGGTCGGTGCGAGCTCTTAATTTACCCTTGCCTTCACTCTATCCAGTCGAACGACCGGATATGAAGCTTCCAGGAAGAACCGACGAACTCGTCGAGCGCGTATTGGAAGCCAACCCGAACGTCTGTGTTGTCGTGCAGAGCGGTACACCGTGCGAGATGCCTTGGTCCGACCGGGTACCATCTATCGTCCAGGTGAGGCAAACATGCTCCCTTTCAATCCAGCGCGATTTCACGGCGAAAGCTGACGGTCCCATCCTGTGGATCTGTTATAGGCCTTTTATGGAGGAAACGCTGGAGGTCTCGCTATCGGCGATGTCCTCTTTGGTCACGCCAACCCCAGCGGAAAATTACCCGTCTCGTTCGCTCATCGACTCTCGGACAACCCTTCTCACCCTTACTACCCTGGTCCGCACGGCAAAAGTCACTACTACGAAGACGTCTTTATGGGCTACCGAGGATTCGCCATGAGAAATACACCCGTGCTGGGCTGTTTCGGCCATGGTCTCAGTTATACATCATTCACCATCGGCGAGCCTAGGCTGATCGATCAGACTATCGACGTTAACGCTCGAACTATCGACATTCAGATCGAAGTCGAGGTCACCAACACCGGGTCTGAATACGCTGGTAGCGAAGTCGTCCAGCTTTACGTCAAACCAACCTCGACTACCAAGGTTCCCCGTCCTCTTCGCGAACTGGCCGATTTCCAGAAGATCCATCTTGAACCGGGTGCAACGGGCAAGGTTCGTTTCGCCTTGAAGCGGGACGCGTTCTCGTACTGGTTGTCGGCAAGAGAGACGACGGGAGCGTGGATGGTCGATACGGGCAGGTACGAGTTGTTGTTCGGGGTATCTAGCGAAGATATCAAGCAGCGTCTAGCTGTCGATGTCGACGAGGGTTTCGTTTGGAACGGGTTGTAGTATTCATACCTCTCTCACTTGATGCGCGATATCACGATGTATTCAAAACTGACAGGTGGAGAGCTATTACCTCCGACGACGATCGCTATCATGGGTTTCTACTCGGGTCGACTATCCGTCATCTAGAGACCTAGAGGGGGTCAGCGGTAGTAGATATGAAATCATGAGACGCGATTATTCCGCCCCTCACGGGACCGGACTAAACTGACTCATATGTCTCGCGCTAATGAAAGGGGGATGACTCCCCAACTGTAGGCCCTCGCCCAGCATGACCGAGCTGCTGACAAGATGCTCCATTCTAGATGTCTATCTGCAGAGGCCGCGTGACAACTCTGCGGATACCAGGTGACTCCCCCTTGGACTCGATCGAGATCCGTGGCTCAGGCCCCTACGATGTTGTTAGTAGTACTGGTATATAGTCTCCTCGAAAGCGCTTCTGCCTTCACTTAACGAGAAGGTCATGCCAAGCAAAACACGGTCTTTATCGCTTCAAGTAGGGTATACTTCTGTTACAGTAGCATGCACCTTAACATGATCACCACCATCCCGATGTTCCTCGCTCTCACCTTGATACTCTTGATACAATCCCACGCCAACCCATCATCCAACCTCTTCAAGCGCGCGCGGGATTGGCAGTGCGGCCAGATCAAATCCAGCGACAAAAATTTCCCTAATCAGTGCATCTGCTTCGATGCCGCTGGGGTTACTACGGTAGCGGGGGAGAGCACGGCTGTGGTCGCCTATGCGAATGTGAACGGGTTTCGGTATCCTGCGTCGGTAGGTCGAAGTCTCGCTGAGCTTTTCAATGAGTAGCGCGGCTCAGCTGAGGGTTCTTGTGTCCGATTGCAACTTCCATGGCGTCCTGATATACAGACAAGCAATAACGGAAATTGTCAAGTCCCAGACGGCGGGCCGGTCACATTAAATCCATACTCGACGACGGGAAAATGTTGCTCGTTCAGTAAGTCGTGTACCCCGCACTTGAACCTATATCATAGCTTCGCTGTCGACCTGGCTGCTGAACCTACCAGGCTGACCCAACCTCCCTACCTATTGCCAATACCGGTGTTTTGTAGCTTGTACTTACGGGCAATGCGGAACCGTCTGTCTGAACCAAGGTCAGGCTTGTCGGTCCGGGGTCCCGATTAGCCCTCTGAAACGTCGTATCAATGGGGACCGTTGCCCGGAAGGTGAGCTACGGCGGAGGCGCATCTTTAGAAGATACATGTGAGGGTCGATTGACTGACGATGACGATTCAACATTGATTTTTTGATTGTACTTGTCAGGTCTTACAAGCTGCTTGACGAAAGTTGGTGGAAAAGACGTCTTTGAGTGTATCGATACGAACCGGGATCTCGAATCTTGTGAGTGAGCCATGGAGTGAGAGCGATCAGACGATCACCAGAAAAATCCTGACCTCATCTCTTCGTTATTCCATGACTCGGATGATATTGTAGGTGGAGGATGTACTTCGCCAGATCCTCGGCTTGACAACTCGACTGCCGGCGTATTGGGACGGGATTGCAGTGAGATCGTAAGCCTAACGGAGGCGCGAACGTGTTCTCGAAAGAGTTTCACAAGCTGATCCCTGAACCTGAAATTAGCCTCATGCATCCGGAGTGACATGTAACAACGGCCAATGCGTAGTAAACAGCTGCGTACGGGGTTACACGGCTGCAGGGGATCGATGTGTCAGATCGCTTAAAGCCCGAGCACGGTCACATACAGAGGAAGGACGTAAGCGGCGAGGTAGACGCGAGATGTGATGTAGTTTTACTCAGCTGCTCCAGACTCGGAGCTGGATCGACATCATGTACAACGTAATTGTGACGTCTCGATTACCTTTTTGAATCTAGATGTTTCAGCTACCTGAAACACGGACATTGTCACATTTTCCCTCTTGTTCGAATGTCCGCCTTTCTCAAGAGTTGGTCGTCGCTCAAAGCCGACATCACTCTCAATTCACATACCATCACATCAATCTCGATATCAACACAACAGTCTGATCTCATCAACAGCATGACCTAGCCTCAAACTGACCACGATTAGACATGTCAGCATGGAACTCCTACCCGGATCCTCGCCTGCGTCACCCGGGTGCCTCCCCAGCGAGCATGCCGGGGAACGCCACGCCCAGCTACAACCCCGGTATAGGCTCGCCCGCTCAACATCTCTACCTTGCCTCACCTCATAACAACCCTTACCTCGGCACCCCTAATCCATACCTCGGTACACCTAATCCGCACGCCATGTTATCACCTGGAGGAGGATCTTACCCGTATCCGGCTTACAACCCCGCTGCCTCACCCTATGGGTACATGTCTCAAGCGGTCCCGGTACAGATGGTCCATATCCCGATGTACGTCGAGGAATATAACGGCGATAATCCTTGGGAGTTGTTCTTCCAGCTCCGGGATGATAATAATCTGGATCCTTATTGGGTAGATTGGGCTCAGACCGAACTAAATAAGGGGACGATTCCAGAGTGGGCCCAGAGGGAGTTCGCCAAGGGGACAGGGGCGGGTGGTTTCGGTGCAGGTGCAGGAGCTGGAGGGGCAACGGGAAGGGATACGTTACCTCCATCGATCGGCAGGGGACCGAGGACTTATAAACCGCCCAACGCGGCTGGTCCATCGGGATCTGGGTCGCGGTCACTTCCACCCAGACCTCCGGGTGCGACCAAGGCGCGACCTTCTTCAGGTCGACCTAGAGATCGTGATCGACACGGCAAGCCAGAAAAGGAAAAGCGGATCTCGATCTCAGATGCCAATGCGGTTCCTGTACCTCCTAAACACCCACCACCGGATCCACCGAGCGGAGTTCAGGGCATGGACTCGCCGACTACTCCGGCTACGATCACGGCTACGACCACCATCCCGCCCGGTCATACATCCTCCTCGAATGCAACCTCCACCTTGAACACGAACATCAATTCAACCTCGACTTCGACCTCAACCCCGGCGCCGATGATCTCCCTCTCCCGGATGAGAGAAGCCAAAGCCCAAGAATACACTCGAGCGCTCAAAGAGAACCGGCCGTTGAATTTGAAGAACGTCACACAGACCACCGCTACTGTCGCTACAAATAATGGCGAAGATGAGGTGACGGTCTTTCCCGGCTCTTCCACGCTTGATAAGGGTGATGGTGGGGGTCCGATGGAGGATGTCGATATGGCCGTGTCGGCATCCACGTCTGCCCCCACGCCTGTACCCCCAGTCGCAAGTGAAACAGAACCATCCCGGGCTGGAGCTGGGTTGGACAGTGGGATGCGGTTGAACGATGACGAGATTGCTGTCTATCGGCTTGGACAGAGGGGGATATCGAACGAGTGAGTATTGTCTTTCCGTTTTCTGGACCGTGTTGAGCCCACTTGATAGCGGGGGTCAGAGGACGTCTGCGATTCACCATATTACGTGATACTGATTGCACATTTTTTTCTTCCCGATGGCGATAGATATTTAGAAAGCATACTCCGTCCCGATCCAAATCCGCCTACCCATGTCCTTTCCCCAGAAGAATCCTGGAGTACGCCAGCAGGACGGGTCAAGAAGGGGTTTTACGCCGAGGTGGTGGCTCGATTAGTAAAATCGCGGGTGGAGGCTCGGGCCAGACAACTCGAGGAGAAGGGTGGAGCTGCACATAGCGATAACGATGGCGATAATGATACTCTGGACGGAACAGGGTGGGGATTGGGGTGCGGGCCAATAGGTTCCGGGGACGAGTTGAAGAAGGAAGACGATGAGGGCGTGTCGATGGGCTGGGACGAGAGCGAGTTGTGGCCGGCAGAGGAGTGCGACAAGGATCTGAGCGATTTGGTACTTTGACCATCATCTATACATCCCAGTGACGGAGTCGAGTAGCTAGGCGAATTCGAGATGAGGGGATATGAAGCTCGTAGACCTTCGATACCGAGCTGGAAGCGGATGCATATTTTCATTGACGACAGTCTTCGCTTGTGATAATAGTCTAGACAACACAAAGAATCACGAAAAGTCATAATGTTTACAAGCTCGGTGGCCGTGATGCGTGATGCCGAGAACAATATTGTTCCGTCTAGTCTGTCTGCCCGTACGCTCCAGATCCCTAGAGCCGCCCGAATGACCTAGAGACACCATGAAAACCGGGGCGATGATGGCAAAAGCTCCTCCTGCCTATCTAAAACGTTCCTTGTATCGTCAGGCCGACTATCCCTGATCTACAAATTCCACCCTAGATTCAGCAATAGCAAGTAGGCAGCCCAGACGACCGCCTAGAGGCTAGAATCTCGCGCCTCTTGCAGAAACAGTCTTCACAGAACTCCCATCTTGAGAATTTTTCCGGGTATAGTATGTGATGGGTATCGCAGAATGTCCGGTTCACCTCCTCTCTTGGAAGTTGTATGTGGAAGCGCAAGATAAGGCGATTATCGAAGCATTCGAAGTAGTATGACACCGGATCCATGTAGATAGGGGGGTGACACCAATCCGATTCCTGCTTCGCCACCCAGTCTTTTGCATGATTCAAGAACTTTTTCTGGATTTCACCTTCCGACTCCGGTCGCACCATGATCTCAAGACCGTCGCCCAAGTCTTTAAAATTCCCGTCGGCGCGCGTCCTGGTCAGAGTGTCATAGACGTCTACGATTTGTGGCTGAAAGACGGCGTATCCGAGGTCGTCGGAATGAAAAGGTTGCGATTTTCCCCACATAATGAAACGGGTGAAGATATCCGTTCTCAGCTCCTTAGCGAGATCCGCCCACGCTGAGCGGTCGATCTGCCCGTTAGATATGGGGAACCGTAGACCATAACGGGGTTCAAGATCTCCGGCTGACTCTGATTTGGTAGTCATGTCTCCTTGTGAATACTGTGAGCCTTCTTGTTCATCGAGCTGATGTCCGGTTGCCCAGGCGCTTAGACTTTCGGTCATTGAGGCGTGGGAAGAGTCACTGCGCCCTTCGTCGTCTCCTTCCCGGATTTCCTTGGGATTGCACGACAAGGACGAGGGTTGAGCAAAATCTGGAGGCAGTTCGACGTTTTGCAAAGTATGGATAGTCTCAATCTGCCTCGCTTCAGCGGTCCAGTCCCCAATATCTGGGAACCATCCGCCGACACTGGGATAGGACTGGTCGTCATATACTAGGTCGAAGGGGTTGGACGAGCAAGTATACTGCCCGAGTTGACCCTCCATGATAGAGCAGTAATCTTTTTGATAATATCCGTATCAAGCAGTGACATTCATCTAGAGCCTCGGGGTGCGTTGTGCAAGACAGGAGCTTTCCCTTTTCTTGGTTGGGATAGTACAGCCGGATGTCTATATATCATCAGCTCATGAAAGGAGTGTGGCTAGGAGAACCCCCACGGTGCGAAACTCGACGAGGTTTGTTCAAGAGGCGGTAGCAAGTAAACGAACTTCCTTTATACCGTTCAAGATGCTCGTACAGCACGCCAGCAGCCGGCGGACGCAATCGACACGCGCTGAAGCGGAGAAGGCTTGTGATTGAAGATTCGCGACTCGCTGATCTAACAATTATCATGTTCCCCAATACGGCTAGCCAAACAGAAGTACGCTGTACCATAGTTTGGCGGTGCGGCTCACAAACTAGATGTCAGATCCCAGTACCGCGAAGTCAAATAGACGGTACTTAGAGTGTTTCATAATCGAAATGATCTTTCAACTATGCAATGCTCAAGGTGAGATTTCACCGATCTCGGATCGCTTGGTACGGAATTACATACATGCATTTGTACTTTTAGGGTATACAGATCTAGTCGATCTTTTTCCGTATCGGCGAACCCGATATCGCGCCACGCATAACGAATTCGCCAATGACATTGAGGAAAACGTTGTATGCGATAAGAAGAGATGCGATTGCAAAGTGGCTGATAGACGAGCCGATTTCGAGCCAAGAACCCGTCGTCTGCACTTGGCGGAAGAAGAACAGGCAAATCGCTAGCAACGCCGAGAACAACCAATGATCATTCAAAGCTATATCGACGACCAAGTGTTACGAATAGACTCACGTTCGCTCATCGCTAGCGTCAGCAGGATGAGGGCAAAAGGCGGTAGTCGCTGTCTGGAGCATATGCTCGCAAAGGCCGCCGACAAGAGGATGAAGGGCACGATGATCTTGTACATCAGCAGTGTCGACATGATCGCTGGCTGGAATACCGGAACCAGCCGGTAGACAGGAGCGAGATAGAAGCTTGCGATGCTAGCGACGTTGCCGGTGCAAAAGAAGCCCTGTGCAAGCGTAATCGTAAGCTGTGTCGAAGTTTCGAAAAGATCGCAACACCACTCACCGCATGGACTAAGAACAAAAAAGACAACGCTCTTGCTGCATCTGGAGTCTGTATGAGCCGATATGCTGTCGAATCAGGCGCTCTTGATGTCGTTTCGGAATTCATCCAGACGGCGATGACTGCAGCGTAATTGATGAGGAAGAGAATTTCCCAAGACTGGGATAGCAGGAGATAGCTGGCGGAAAAGGTGTTGTATAGGAGAGCGAGGCGTAGATTCGCGCTCTGACCAGCCTTGAAACCGGAAAACAAGGGGAACAAGATCGAGTAGGCTACAGTAAAACGGACGTTTTAGTTCCGACCCGGTTCGATTTCAACGGTCCCGGCTCACCGAGCAGTATCCATCCAGCGCCTCGTGCGGTCGAATTGATAGGATCTTTCCGACCAAGGCTATATGCAGCCCAGATCGCATAGACTGAAAGGGCGCCGGAGAAGTATAGTTGTACGCCGAACGTCCGCTTCGCTGACGTCCAAGTAAGGTCTGTTGATGTGCAGCTTTTCGAGAAGCAGTAGACGATGAAGCCGTAGTTGATGGCAGCGCCCGCTATGCTAAGATAGGGGTATTACTCAGCGGTTTGCGTATGCTGACGATTCACTTTTCAGGTCTACTTACAGAATGCGCAAGTCTTCATCTCTCTCGACCGGCAAGAGAGCCCATGCAGCCGCGCTGAAGAAGGGGAAACTCTTCCGGCAAAAGTTGGCTAGACTGAGCTCTCCCTGTAAACCCGCTCTTACGCCCAAAGGCAAAAACCCTAGGCACCAGACGATTCGGTGTTTGTACCCCATCTATCAAGCGTCCAAAGTAATCAGCGGTTCGAATAGATAGCACGGACATGAGCATATCACTCACCGCCATAGCGACGAGCGCGCCGGAGTATAACGCTAGTTGGGCCAACCATTTGAGCGCATGAGCGATATTGTGCGTGCGTATCCGGATTCCGCTAGATCCCTCCCATAGGTTGACCAGGATAGCTCTTCCGAGGTAAATGGGAAAGGCAGCGTAGATGGCATGCCAAGGCGACTCCTCAATCACGGCACCAACAATGACCGTCGCTCCGGCTGCAATGGTGAGGATGTCCGCAGGTAGTGCATTCCTCTGCGGAGTAGGCGCGCTCTTGTTGATTCCAAAGACATGCCGGACGTAGAGCAAAATATAGATCCCGAAGAACGTATAGCCTAAAGAGACAATCGACCTCAATTTAGACTGTTCGTAGGTGTCGTAATAGGCTAGACCGTCGAGTGCCATGCCAGCGATCTGTCGTGCCGTTTCTGTTGCGTTCTTGTAATCGCCCGCATCAAGCTGCTGGATAATGGACAATACGGGATCTTCACCATAAACGTCGAGCATACTCGTAAACGGGCGGAAATTCAGTTTTCGAGCGGCAGTCCGTTCTGTTCACGAATCTGGTTGTCAGTCAAGTTCTCATCCTGTAGCGTTTCCAAATACTTACTTTGCTTGGTATCAAACTGCTCCAGTACGCTCTTCGCGTTGCCGAGCATTAACCTAGCTCGGGTCCGTTCGACACCCACAGCCGGTTGCAACAAATCCTCTGGTAAGATCCCTACGCTGTTCTTGGGCCAGTTTCCCCCGACCAAGGCGGCCATCAACATGGTCAGATCGACTTGATCCACGTCCCGCCTCAAAAGTCCGTTGAAACCCCAAGGTTGGGAGACTTGATCGTGCGAGCTGGGTACCGAATCCGTGAGTGGTGATCGGATTCCCGAGCCCCAAGTTATGTAGGGCGTTCGGGTATTGTCCGGGTCTAGATGAAGGCAAGCATGGTGAACTTAGTCAGCTTGGAAGACTGGATGGACTCTGTATACTTGACCTACGTCCATCTCCGTGGTTCCCAATATTGCTCATCCCATGATCAGCGCTACGAATTTAGAAGATTGAAGCCGTCAACCGAATAACCCTATAACACGAGTATTCACACTGTCTAGTGCTTACGTGAACAAGTACGCCGTCCGGTCGTCCTGAAAGAAGAACCGCATTTCTTGTTCCACCTTGCGTACGATGTTATCCACGTATTGTATGCTGTCAATGTACTCCTGTACAGCGAAATATCCTCCAGGAAGGTCAGCCGGGATGCTAACGTCTGTGTCTCGAAAGGGATGTTGATATACTCGCCTTGGAGTGAGGACCGAATCCATGCCCAGTCGTATCTAAACCGAGAAGGTGGAGGAAGAACACGGTTCCCGGTGCTCTCAGACGTCGAGCCAGCTTGTCATCTTGCTGAGCGCGGTGTAATAACGATTGAAATCGATCGAACGAGAATGCGTCTAATCGGGTAGCATCTATAATCGACTGATCCATCAGCCCATGAACCCGACTCAGGTATCATAATGACATCAACCTCGATGACGATAAGGAGACTGACCGCTAGTGAAATCCTCATCGTCCTCGTGGTACATCCACATCAACACCTTCCGATCGGGGTCTAGTGGATCGTCCTCGCGTTTCCCCCCTGGCGGGTGACTGGCGAAGATAGGTAGGATATCGGGCGAGCCGAAAGTGAAGGCTGTAGATGATTGGTTGAGGATAGAGTCGAAGTTTACAGGGTTGTGTTTCCAGCCTGTAGTTGATCACGAGTTGTACGTTGTCAGAGTCGGTAATTGAAACGGAAGTGTTGCTTGGGAAGGCTTACCTTTAAAGACGGCACTTGGGTCTTCCCAGAGACCGCCTAGATAGAGGCGCATAACGTGATCAGCTATTCTTCATCTGGAAGTAACTTTCGAGAACGGGTTTTGCATACCAACCTATAAGAGCAACGTCTAGCAATAAGAGATAAGTCAATAGAACACTCGAGGCAGGTAATCCTTTAATCAAGCTCATACTCACGGCCCGGTCTGCTTTCCGTAGGTACCCTCGCATGAGATATGCCAAAACAACCTCGTTCTTCGATTATGGAGCGGAGATAAGGTGCCATAACTTCTCCGGATGGCAGAGGTATTCGAGGAGAACCAGTCGGGGTGAATACCAGGTCGGCTCGGAGTCCGTCGGCTACGATTACAGGAGGAGTATGTATCAGCGCGATCAAGCTAGTTCATATGATTCCTATACGATCCGCGGCTCACCGACCATCAATACGAGTCTATCTGCTAGTGTTTCGTCTCCTTGTTCGTTCACCGGGTGAGATCGGTCGATGTGAACAATAGGCGAATGGAAATAGGTGTCGAACATGGCCAGGAGGTAGGTCAGGTGTAGGACGAGGCCGAGCCCGACCACCGTACGGGACGATCTCGGGAAAGCGGCCATGATACCGTACGATCAGAAGACTAAGCTGAAGCCGACCAGCTCTATCAGCTGAATGATACGGTAGGCGTTGATGTATGGGATGCGGTCATGTAGATAGACCTGTCGACCAGAGTCATGATTGTGATGTAGGGTGGTCCACGGTACTAGATCACGTGATCAACCTAAACGTCATCACTAGCCTGGGACCTACTCACATCATCAACATTCTCGAGTGATACACTACTAACTATTATATCTATTACCCTATCCTTACTGTTTAAGACGACACCAGACCGGAACTACAAGGGTCGCAAGAACAACGTCTGGTCAGTATGATTTGGCATCGTCTTTGCTATCTGATCCTGATCCGATACCGCATTGTTGAACAGCGGTGCGATTCACTGGGTTCTCGGGTAGACAAGGCTTGAATGCTGAAAACGGTTCGAACACAAAAAGTACGCTCGTGTACCGAACCGTATCATACAGGCGTTCCAGTCTGACCGCATCAACATTGTTATATCTATCCTCAGATTCTCAACACATTCGAGCTGGTTTAAGGTTATCTCGCTCCGCAGCGGCATTTCGACTTCCCCATCAATCTGTCAAATCGACTCCTTACGAAGCGTGTTGACAATACATCTTTTACGACCGCCTCATCTCGCAAACGGCTATATGCAAAACCTGGCATCCTCTACTTAGCCGGAAACACTATCACATCCTTGCCGCAGCCGAATTGCGGTTGTGAATATTCTGCAAAAGCTCCACTTTCGACCTCTCTCGACGCGAAACGCTTCTCGTCAAAATACGTCCGTCGCCAGGCTCGCAGCCAACGCTCCACGTCTCGCAATGAGCGCCGAAGAACCGATCGATATCACAATCACAGGTTCTAGCGAACGGGTCTGGCGCTTCGAACCTTCGCCGGGAAGCCGAGCGGTATGGGAGAATGACATGCTAGTCGAGATGATCTATCGTTACGTCCATCGTCTCGACGGCTCTCGAGCCGTCATCAACGGGATGGTCTTGTGCAAAAGTCGATTTTGGCTCATGGCGAGGATCTTATATCGAGACTGCCATGTCCATGACGTTGTTCAAACATTTCTGGAGGAGTGTTCATTGGTGAGTCTCAGTACGACGTGGATTGAAGCAGGATTGATTCATTTTCAAGCAATGCCCAGGAACGCTTCACTGGATATCTCAACTCTGTGCGAATCCTGCGTCTCGACGGTGACGATCTGCAGCCGGATGGGAACTTCACCGCGAAAGAAGTTGCATCTCGACGACGAGCTCAGATGCCCAACTTGAAGGAGGTCCGTCCAGTTGAATCATGCGACAATCATTCGACCATAGAAAGGACGATCGAAATCGAAGGACAACAAATCGTTGTGGAGCATTTCGTATACCCATTCCGCCTTGATGCTTTAATCGAGACGAACATCTCGGTTGGACCGAGCGACGCACAAACCGAGGGGATCCTGACTGGTGTCAAGATTCGTCCCCACCCCGTCGGCGAGGTTGAAGAAGCACAGCTAGGCTTAGTAATTGCTCTGCTGAACAGGAGACCGTCTCTTGGGCTTAGTATGTCCCAGACTCATCCGTTCGCCAATCTACGTACATTGGAGCTCTTACCGAGTCTCGGCTGGCGCTTCGCCAAGCTCGACCAGCTAGACAGGCTACACACACTGGATCAAATCCTTAGCGTGTGTCCAAGACTGGGCCGACTTGCCTGTCGGCTCAAGGACTCTCCAGTCACAGCAAAGACCCTCAACCGGGTTTTTTCCAAAGGAAAGAACTTGGTATCTGTTCACATCGAGACCCATGGGTTCTTGACACCTTACCTCTCGGCTCTGAGCCGCTTCGAACAGGTGACGCTGGCCTGCACCACGCTGTTGACCGAGACGGATCTTGATCTACTTTATGGTCATGTTAAGCCGGATCAGCCCTTCATACCTCGACTGAGGCATTTCACTTACGGAGTCACTACGGGCTTAATCGATGCCGTTCGGGCGGGGGATACGCCTTGTAACAAGCCCTATTCGGTCGCTCGCTTGATACGAAAGCTACTACCGCGCGACTGTGTTTTCGCGACATCGACGGCTCATTACCACTCTGCCTATGGACTGAAGGAGCCAATGACACAATGGTGGAAGGACTTCACGGGCATCATGGACATCATGATGAAGGAGATCGATCCACCTCAGCCTGCCATTATGCCTCTACCCCGGGAGCCATAGCGGAAAATGGCACAGAAATCCGAACATGGCTTATGGTGAGTCGACGGGTCGACACCGAGAAAGCTTTTCCGATCTGACCGCAGTCACTCTACATATAGTCATGCTCTGCAAACTACCACAAAATAACGTTTCAACTTTCACCCTCGACTTCGAGGTTCACGCGCTTTTATTGCGAGCATTCGGCTCGCAGCCGAATACACCTCAAACATCAGCCCAGGAATCGCAGGATGCGGCGCGACACGATCAAACACATATACACGGATATCTTACGGAACACGACTCAGCTTCAGCTTTTACGAATTACGACTTCCTTCCTCTCCGAACCTATTCTGACCTCATCGCGTGCCAAATAAAGGCACGACCGCAACGAAATGTCTACTTCTCATTCTTTACGTTATCATGTACCATCAGCTCGACAGCGAGTCTTAATGTCATCGGAATGAGATATACGTGCTTCTGTTGTAATGCGATGCAACCGACGGTGATGTCATAACAACGCCAGTAGTGTTACGGCTCCGGCGCAACGGCAGCAGGGGATTACCCGGGACCTACCGACCAATAGCAAGTAAACGCATACTGTAACCCGAGTGGATGGAAGTAAAAACGAAGCAGTATTGTTGATCAACAATAGCGTCCAGATGTTACAAGTGATTTGACCAATTCTATACAAGTCATGCCTCAGTTCAAAGAGCGATCTCGATTCCTTTTCTTTTCGACTTGGCGGACTCTCGTGCAAGACGTCTACTCAAGCCTTGTTGTGCTCGATCTGCCATCGCTCCCACTCGATCAGAGCCAACGAAGCGAGCGCCGGACCATAAGGCATGGGCGTGATAGGAATCTTTCGGTAATGCTCCTCATCATGACCCATGCCGGTCCCGAAGGAGACATTGTCGAGTTGACCGTCAGGGCGGATGTTGTTGATCACTCCCTGTAATGCGGCATCGGCACATTGCAAGTACTTTTCGCCTTGAATCAGACCCTACGAGCGTTGGCAGCGGAATGTAAGCCACAATTCGATGGCATGAGCCGACGAAACTTGTACTTACCAATCTCAACCCCATGTAGATCCCTGCAGCAAACCCGGCCGTAGCGCTCGTCTCCACGTAGCTCTCCCGGTCGACCAACAACGTGTTCCACATGCCCGACTCCCTTTCCTGCACCCTTAACAGCGCGTCGACTTGTTTCTTGAACGTGCTGACCAAGAACCTCCTCAGCGGATCTTGCTCGCCGAACGTGCGGTCGTGCTTCTTGGCATCTTCCGCCAACAGCTCGATGAAGAGGGGGATTGAGATGGTGATCCAGCAGTTACCTCGGGCCCAGAGCGCCTTGGCAAAGTTGTGACCGACGGTGACCTTTTCCGGGGTGAATTCCCAACCGTGGAACCAGAGACCGGTGACCGTGTCCATAAGATACTGGATGTGAAGCATGAACTGGTATTTTGCTGCAGAGTCGATTGACGGTAATCATCTCAGTCAACATGCTCAGATTTCCTCAGCTCTCAAACTCACCTTCCTCAATGTACTGGGGCCGATCGAACAAGATCCCAATCTTCGCCAACGGGATGACTGCGTTGTTCAACAAACCGCTTTCAATCAGTCTCATACTAGAAGATAACCTCACGATAAGAGAAGCGAAAACTAACCGGACATCATCAGGGTATCGTCCCAAAGTTGGTCCTTGTTGACCTCGAGGTACGTGATATGCTGGAATCCTCCCTCTTCCGTCCCTGTTGGAGCCCGAAGCAGGGCATCATCAGCCTAGACTCTCAGTAACGTTTGGACCCGCATGATCAAGAAGGTTATCGACTTACTGGGCAACTCGTTCATGATCCACTCTGCCCACTCGTCCAACCACTTCACCCACAGCTTCTTCTCCTCGACCTTCTCCTTGCCTTGCTCATCGACGACGAGGTTGTCCGAGACGATGCACGCCAGACTGTAAAAGGGGGACATGGTGTTGATGTTCTTGGGAGCGCCTTTGCCCTTCCACACATCGTTTTGCAGGCGGAACCATGAGAGGGCGGTCTGCAGGGAGTAGCTCGCTGCGGATGACGAGGGTGTCAAGGCAGCGTGCTAGACCAGGCGAGAATAAGGATGTCTGATTAGGAACTTGCAGATGCTTATGGGAGTTTCTGACATCGGCTTACATGATACAGTCCTGTAAGGGCGATTCCGTGGGCTGCACCGGTTTCAAAAGTGATGCTCGAGATCAGCTGGATATCCTGAGGGCTCTTCGCTTTCGTCGAACCGCTTACTCCACTCCCATCCTCCGAACCCTTTCGTATCGATGACGGTACCATCAGGGACTGCATTTCAAGTTAAGAGATCGGCCAGATCAATACGCTAAAGATATATATCTGGGACACGGCTATGCCTACTCACTGGTCATGAGGAACTCTCCCGTCTCATCTTTGATGTTGACCAGTCCTTCAGTGAGACTTCGGATCAGTTGTTCGGCTCGTTCGATAGTCAAGGTGGACATTCCGTTGGTGTTGCGCTGAAGTTGATGAGAGATGATAGAGCAGATTCGTATGCCTGAGTTACGTCAACAGTTCAAAATGGCCAGTGGAAGAGCAAGTTGGGTGTTGATTGCTTGGGCTTGAATGTCGTTGTGACAACAGCCCCTGAACAACGTATATCGACCTGGAGTTTCGGCTCAAAGTTACAGCAGCGAACGGTCTATGTTCGTACCCTCTTCCCGCTCAAGGTCGGTGCAAAGATATCGACTTTGCGCCGAAAGACGACGTATCGTGGGAGGTACAGATCTTGACAAATGCTGAGACTCGCTGGAGATGGAGGTGTCGCCAACTTCGTCCCTTCGGTCAAATCGGTTTCATCGGCTTCATACGCACAGGAGGTCGATCGCTTTGACCGGTCCGGGGTAAGCCTTCTAGCGCGGAACCGGCCCGCTTAAGCGAAAGGAAAAGCTTCCGTTCCCCCCCGAGAGGTGTGGAGAACGTTTCAAGGGGGGCGGTCGTGATCCGCGCTCTGATCAGAGCTTTTCCTAGCAACGGGCTCGACCTTCTGCTGATCTCCACACCTCGTCCTTTTTCGCAGCCATCATTCTGCACCTACGACTCGTGACCTATGATCGCCAGACCGATCCAACCTTGTTGTTCTTCTTGCGAACCGGAAATAGCGCCTGGACCCGCTCGCTCCGGGCAAAAAGCCTCTCACGCGCTCCATCGCCCTCGGTCGATATCCCGTCATCTAGCACGGCTCCGACCGACAAGTCCCCGACCATACGCTCCTCACCGACACCCCCTTCTTTGACGCTGGTCTCGTATGAATGACGGTGCGATACATCTCCCATGTAGCCCGGGGGCCTTTTGCCAAGCCCGTCCCCTGACCGGTGCACATGCGACCTCCCTCTGGCCCGAACATATGGTTCTTTTTCCGATCATCCCGAACGAGTCACGGGGAGACGGCGCTGAATTGAAACGCCTCGCTGCTCTTGCTGTGTCAGGGGGATGATCGGCTGCCTTTTTGGCTCGTCTCCTACCAGACGAACAGACTCGGTGTAAAGATACTTCAATTCGAGGTAAGAACGGCCCGGGGTGCCGTGGGGTAGGAGGCAGGTGAGCAGAGAACGTCGACAGACGCTGTCTGATCGCTCAGCAAAGACCGAAGGGATATATACACGAACACCGCGGGACCCCCTTACTAGTCTGTGGGGTACGAGAAACCCCTCTACTGTTCGCTCATCAGTATCGGTACACCACCATCACTTCAACTATGACGACTCCATACAACCATCACGACGAGAAGAAACTCTCGACCGAACACCTCGAAGGTGGCATCCACGCTGACGATGTGGAGAACGCGCTCGATGACAAGCACGTCGAGGGCGGCAAGAAGAAGGGAGTCAACACGCAACTAGACGATGCTGCCGCTCTTTTGGCCGCACACGGTGGGCATATCGAGTACACTCCCGAGGAGAACAAGCGGGTGTTGCGGATGGTCGATCTTTACGTCTGCGTACCGGTGAGCTTTGGTCATGGAAAGGCTCGTTTGAGTTGACGAGCGTAGGGACTGACCCGGGGTCTTTACCATCAGATGTGTCTGGTCTACTGGCTGCAGCAGCTCGACAAGTCCAGGTGCGACATCTCGACCATCGATTTCTCGTTATCCTCGAGTGCTAACGCATCCTCTTCCTGGTCCGACATGTCTTGATCCGATCCGCCAGTGTATCTTACGCTGCCGTGTTTGACCTCCGAGAATCGACCGGTCTCGTCGGGACGCAATACTCGTGGCTGTCCTCAGGCGTTTACGTCGCTCAATTGGTCTTCCAGCCACTGAGTAGTTACGCCTTGATCGTCTTCCCTGGTGAGTTTGAGGCAAGATCGTCATGTCTGGAACACTCCAGCTGATCCCGGTCGCTATCGCAGTGAAATACTGGGTCATGTTCAACTTTACGGCTTGGAGTATTTGTACCGCTGCTACCGCCGCCGCCACCAACTTTACCGGTCTCATCATCTGTCGGATCCTCTTAGGAATGTTTGAGGCAACGATTCTCCCCTCGTTCATTCTGTACGTGGTAATCGTTCCAGTGATTGGTATTGTAGAAACACCCTAATGGATGTGGCAACTACAGCGTAACGCAAATGTGGTGGACTCGACGAGGTGAGTCTGCCTCTTATATATACCCTATCCAGAGTTGCGTACTGAACGAACTTGATGCTAGAACAATCGTACAGGACCATCGCATGGCAAGTCGCCAACTCCATGGCGGCCATCCTGGGACCCCTCCTGTCTTACGGTGTCGGCCACGCCAAGACCGGGTTGAAGCCTTACCAAAGCATCTTCCTCTGTCTGGGTCTCGTCTCCCTCGGCCTGACCTCAGTGGTCTGGTGGCTCATGCCCAACTCGCCTACGACCGCCAAGTTCTTGAAGAACGGTAACGACAGGTTGATCGCCATCGAGAGGTTGAGGGAGAACAACACCGGAACCAAGTCTTCCAAATGGCAATGGTACCAGGTCAAGGAGACTTTTATCGACCCCAAGAGTAAGTCCGGGTCGCATCAGGAATTGCATGACTGCGGGACATTTCTGACGCTATTTCTCTGCGCTTATCTAGCCTGGCTCTGGGCTGCGATGTATGTCTGCTGTGCCACCCCGTCCGGTGGATTCGGAGCTTTCGGAGGGATCATCACCAAGGGTCTCGGTTTCACCTCTTTCAAAGGTGAGCCCACATTTCGTGCTACTAATCGCGTAAACCGTTCCCCAAGTACTTATCAATTCGACCGGGATCTTCGTGCAGCCATCTTGATGCAAATCCCTACCGGGGCGCTTCAGATCGTCACCTTGCTGCTCGGTATCTGGATCACCAACAGGTTCAAGATGCGATGGCCCGTACTTGCGTGAGTCTAGCAATCGTCTGAATGCCAACATGCTGCAACAGACCGCTGATTTTCTGGCTCTTATAGCTTCCTCTGTTTGCCTCCTATCGCTGGTGCCACCGGTCTGCTCAAGGTCCCCCGGGACCAGCCCAACGATTTGCTCGGATGTTATTACGTTGCCATGCTTCTCGGTGCTTTGCAACGTGAGTAATGTTTGCGGTCATTAGGCCGTCAAGTCATAACACAGTTGCTAACACTCTGCTGTACCTATGCACTACAGCCCTTCTGTATACGTGGGCCAACTTGAACGCTGCTGGGTCTACCAAGCGGGTTGTCACCACTGCCATCATGTTCGTCTTCCAGTGTGTCGGTAACGTAAGTTCTCCCGTCTATCCTTAGGTTCCTCTACGGTAACATCTCATTGACGTCTTTCGTTTCTTGCCATCATGCAGATCATCGGACCCCAAGTCTACCTGGCGAAAGAGAACCCCTACTACTTTACCGGTCTCAAAGTCGACATCGCCTGCTGGGCCTGCCTCTTCGTCCTCATCCTCACCCAAGCCGCCTACCTGACCTACCTGAACAAGAAGAAGGAGAAGCAGAGGGCCGCCCTCGGTCTGCCTACCGACCTGAAGGACATCTCGCTCATGTCCAGTGCCGAAGCTGCCGCTTACAAGATCGAGCTCAAGGAGATCTTGCGGGCTCAAGGGTTCGATGAGAACAAGCTCAACGATTCTGCCTTTGGGGATCTGACCGATTGGGAGAGTGGTACGTTCTTGACATCGGACTATTAACAATCCATGCTAACCCATCACATTGCCTTGCTTCCGATAGTGCATTTCCGATACGTCATCTGATCGTCGTTCTGGCCTGCTTTCTATATTCGGACTTCTTTAAATAACTTTGGTGAAAGGCTTCAAATCGATTGCGGTTGTACAGTATATTACACTCTTCGTCAAAATATGTCAGACGGGAAAAAACGAAAGATTTGCTTTGGGTGTCGAGCTATATGAATGACATGGATGCATGGATAGGGATGGCGACAGGCGCAGTCAAACAAGCGCTGCGTAGATTGCTGATTTGCCTCCGGCTGTGGCTTTGTCGATCGTGCCGTAAGTGACGTCACCTCCTGGCGTCGTCGCTGTGTGGAGTGTGGAGTGTATATTTGCTTCCGCTGAGATTGGCAAACCCGCTCTCCAGCTGACCTTTGCATGAATCGACGACCTGTGCCAGAGATTACTGGATGATGGATGATGATGGTTTCCTCTGGACAACCCACACAAACACTCATAATCACCCTGAAAAGACCTTATATACATATATTGTTGCTAGCGGGAGGATACGAGAGAAGAGAATAACCACAACCCGAGCGACAACTTCGCCATGTTCGGACTTCCAGCCGCTTTTTACGTCGATGACGATACCAGGCGTCGGGAAGCCATCTCCCGAAGAGCCTCGTTAGCATCCAATGCGCAGTCGACCAAGTCTCCTCAGGGATCGATCAGTCTGCCTGCGAGTAGGATCCCGAGTAGGGCGACCAGTCGAAAGCCGAGTCTTTCCGGGGTCGGTGAGATGGATGGAGAGGAAGATCAGACGGTTCCACACACACGTACCGTGAGTTGTCGTTTGCTACTACCTCAGCGACATTCGAGCTGACTTCAGGTAAGCTTGTGACGGAATAGGCCGACGACGTGGTCGACATCATCACTCGATCGTTCGCCTCGTTTCTCAACGTCAAGCCTCCGCCTCAACCAGCATCGAAACCGCCCACTGCCTCAGTAACACAGCCCGCCAGTCCACGCCCTGCATCAACAAAGAGCTCTGCAGCCGAGACTGAGGATTCTAAAGGCAAAGGCAACGGCAAAGGCAAAGGAAAAGCCCGAGCTCTTCCCCAAGATGCTTCAGCGGATGAACCACCTGTAGACTCCGGTCTGGGAAGTGCTACGGCCGACCCGGATTTCCGATTCGGAGGAGCTACTTCCACGTCGACTTTACCTTGGGAACAAGGATCAGGGTCATCTTCCCGGTACAACAAGGGAGAGCTCGTCTTCTGCAAGAGCCAAGTCTTTGTACATCCCAGCAAGAAGCGTGATGACAATATCCCCGGGTACTTGGGTCTGGCTTCGGTCAAGCTCGAGGATCAGACGCAAGGGAGGTCCGAGCAGGGCCAGCAAGATGATCGGGATCAGAGCGCAAAAACGGGACCGACGACGATGGTCTTGTTCTGGGTCCCGGCTAGTGTGGTAGAAGGACTCGATGAGGAGGATGGGTACCTCAAGGTCTCTGAGCGGGCGGACAAGATCTTGCAACAACGGGCTGGGGTCGCGGATTCGAACTCGGAAAAAGCGCATTCCGAGAGTGAAGGGGACCGAGACGAGGATGAAGGTCAGTCAAAATTGATGCGAGAGGATGTGATCATCGAAACTCACCTTTTTGTTCTGCGTTTGTTTTGTTTGTGACAGGCTATGTCATCGTGACAGTTCCGCCTTCTACCACGGCGGGTCACATTCCTCTATCCCCACACGACACGTCCAACCACCGCATGTTCTCGCCATCACCTACCTTGTCCTCCCGATCGTCCTTGCGATCCGCTACCGTCAAATCCAGCGTGTCGTACCCCAGCGTCTATGCGGACAACAACGACAACTCGAGGACGGACGCTAGCAGTCTCTTGCTCGTTTCCGAGGGAGGCGAGCTTCTGAAAGACGAATTCGCACCAGACGGGAGGATGGAGCGGGACGTGTCCAGGGGCGAGAGTGCGAGAAAGATGGCAGAGACTAGGAGGCGGAAAGAGATGGAATACGCTTGGAGCGTGCCTATGGAGGAGATTTACAGTATCTTGGTCTACGCGCCGAGTTTGGGTCAGTGGTATGGGAGTATCACCGTCAAGTAGGTCATCCAGCTTCGTTCACATCGCGTCACCGACCGAGTTGCTGACCTGAATTCATAATTTAGCCTACTCGAAGGTCTTTCCATGCCCAGCCTGTATTTCCACGACGAAGAGTCCCCGACGACGCTGGAGATCCTCAAGACCTCGCGATCGAGCACGAGTTTGGCGACTACCGGATCCGGTCCCGAGACTCCCGAAGCCTCTCAAAGATCAAAGGTGCCCTGGGGTGCCACGCCGTTGTTCTCCGCTCTGCGATCTCACGCGGAGATCCTTCGATCCAGGTTGGAGCCTAGGTTGTTCCTCGTGAATCCTTCGAAATCAGATAGAGAAGTTCACGAGATCGATCTAGGGGATTCGGCGGAGAACGATCGGGTCTTGCCCAAGGTCGGGACATCCAGCGATAGCAACAATGCCGAGCGCAAGGCTTATCCTCCCAAGGCTATCTTCCCCGAGCCTACTAGCAGCAATCCTACAGGCGATTTCCCTGCGGCGACGTTCCTGCATCCGACCAGAACACAGCTGTTGTCGGGCTTTTCCCAGTTGACGCAGAGAGCCAAGAGCCTGACTCGGGACATCTTGAGCCAGCCGTTCGCCGAACCGATCGTCACGCATCTGCCGGCTCCGGTGCGTGATTTAGTGAATCCGTCGTCCGAATGGGAAGCCAGAAAGACCGGGGACAAGAAGAGCAATGTCGCTGGCGAATTCGAGTCGGCGCGTGTATATCTTGCGTGAGTGCAATAGATCGTTACCATTAGTCGTCATCGCTGAGCGTGATCTGTTTTATAGTCGCTGGGCACGGGTTGTCGCCGAAGAAGGCGAGCGTTCTCGCAAAGCTGAATTGGCAGCCAAAGCGCGTCGTGGTCTGTCGCAGACGGACAGTGGCACGGAAGCACGCAGCGACCTGGGCGTGTTCGAATTGATTCGGAGCGTAAAGGCAGGTGGAGAACCGCCCGTCACTACGAGGGTAACGGGGAACCCTGTCAAGATGGACGAGATCTGGGAGTGGCATTCAAAAGGATTCGAGGAGACGCTCTTCCGCAAAGAGATCTTCCGGAGAGGGGCCGCTGCGGGCGAAGCAAGACGTTGGGCATGGGAAGTGATGCTCGGCGTCATAGGCTGGGATATCGGTCTCGGAATTGAGAGCTCACGAGCTGCCGAGCTGCGTCAAGCCGTTCGTGATCAGAAAAAGTCCGAGTACGAGCGCTTGAAGGGCAAATGGCGGGGGTCCAGCGAGCAAGGAATGGAGAGGGACAAGGAGGAATGGCACCGGATCGACGTGAGTTTGCGACTCGAGGTTCTTTGACCCAGCTAGTCTGCCTGACTTGGGGTTTCAGGTCGCTATACACAACCCTGAATTGGTTCTCGTTCTGCAACAACAGGTCGATTGTCGCCGAACAGACAGGGATCAGCCCATGTTTGCGGTGCCCTCGAATCTCCGCGGAGAGGAGGAAAAGGAAGGTGGCGGCGCGGGCGACGCACACGGCTCGGAAGCAGAGGAAGGTAGCCAGACCGCGCTGAATCGTAAGTCGTCCATCGTAATAGCTCGAGTCCGACATAGCTGACACGATCTGTTCCGATCCATTCAGAGCATATTGCCGCCCTTCGCGTCATCCTAATGACCTACCACGTCTACTCGCCAGAGCTCGGCTACGTGCAAGGTATGAGTGACTTGCTCAGCCCAATCTACGTCGTATACGAGGGAGACGAGGCGGCCAGCTTTTGGGCGTTCTGTGGGTGGATGAGGCAGATGGTAAGTTTGACTATTCGTAAGCGGAACGGGAATGAGCAACTGATTCCAGGCTGTGTCTCCGACAGGACGTCAACTTCTTGCGAGACCAAAGCGGGATGAGGCAAAAGTTGAGCACTCTCCAGCAGCTCATCAACGTCATGGACCCGCAACTGTATCGCAAGCTGGGTAAGTCTGGTCTCTATCCCTACGCGGCGACCGTTGACGCGGACCTTCGGCATGTCATGATACTGCAGAACGGACGAATTGCACCTCGATGTTCATCTGCTTCCGATGGCTCCTGTGAGTACCTCTTCCTTACCCGAGTTTGTCAGAAAGATCATGTGCTGATGTGCTGATGCGCGCCCGCCTGCATAGCATCGCGTTCAAACGGGAATTCAATTTCCCCGATGTCATTCGTCTATGGGACGTGAGTATTCCGATACCATGCCGTTGTCCAGTGCCAGCGATGCTGACATTTCTCTCTCATTCCCCAGGTTCTGTTCACAACCTACTACTCGGATTCGTTTGAGCAGTTTGTCGCTCTGGCAGTCTTGCACTCTCATCGTGATGTGATCATCAGGTATCTCGTCGAATTCGACGAGTGCTTGAAGTACTGCAACCAGCTGACGGGAACCGTAAGTTTGGTTCGCGCCTCAAAGACCACTACAAACAGCTGACGATCCTGCGTGCGCTGCGCTGCCAGATCGATCTCGAGTCCACGTTGGCACAAGCAGAAGTCTTATTCCTCTCGTTCCGTAGCATGGTGGAAGAGGTTGACCGGAACGAGTTGGTCCGAGCCGGACAAGCTGGGCTGCTGGAACAGGACAACACGCTGAGAAAGCGACGAGGAAGTGTCAGCACGATCGGATCGGAGCCGAAGCGAGATCTGGTCAGCGATGACCTGAGGGATCTGCTCGTAGGGTGGAGCAGTCGGACGTGAGTGCAGTCGGGATCTTGGTAATATTGCTGTCGGTGCATCGATTGTAGAGGTTGCGTCAATCTTGTATGCTAGGAATTGTTGTGACATTGCCACATATTAGTAGTACTCAGAGCAAATCCAGCACCTTCGCAGACACCTCCCAAGGAGTCTTGTTCTTAGCTAATCCCCCTAGGAAAACGGCTAGGCATGAGGATATGAGGTACTAGATCGAAAGTGATCTTATAGTACACTATGCGGACCGGCGGTTTCCAAAATCGCTCTCGAACGTGTTTACTACCCGTCATGTTCAGGCATCTATGTCTCAAATAAGAAAGACCTTCCCCGGGACGATGACCTGTGCAAAGCAATTGTCGATAAGGAGCATGGCGAGGATATCAACATTTGAGCTGGCATATTGCGCAGCATCTGCCCCATAACTGCTGTACATCTGACGACTCGGTGCCACAGTGAGGAACAGTCGCAACAGAGGCAGCCAAGCCGATGGTCCCATTCTCGCAAGACTCTGACTGACCTTGAACGCATACCCAGCCGTCAGTCCGAAATCACCCTGCAATAGACAGCTGTGATATGGATTTATGGTTCTGCGATTACGCCAAACTCTAGCCATCCCAGATCAAGATGTGACAGTCAGACCAACATACCATCAACAGAGCTTCGCGCGTGATTGTTTGCCGTGACTGTGAAGCAAACAGTGAGACCTCACCGTATACCCTGCATGGCAGTCTGCCTTCTCTGTCGATTTAGTACGGCAGCCGGAATACGTTATGATATTGTAAAGTCTGGCCTCGCATCAACAAATGTATTCTACCGCGTGTCTGTCCTCGGAGCAGAGACCTCTGAGCACATTGACAAGCGTATCGTCCGCAACCTAAACTGACAGATGCTCACGACCGTCCATACCATACCTGCTGACCCTGTAGGCGATAGTGGATGTCCCTGACAAGACTGGAGCGCGACTGAAACGGTCTAGAGTTTCCGAAGCCGCCCAACTTGAACACCATCCTTCTCGGACCGCATGAACCTTCGTCCTGCATGACGCTCCTCCCCCCGATGTTCATGAACCTCGGACAGTCCGTACATGTGGCGAATTTCGGGTGTCAAGTACGCCACGGCCGCACAACGGCGAAGCTGCGTACTGTATTTGTGGGGCACCGTCATCGCCGGAAGAACGCTGGTACCACATGCCGGGGGGCGAGGAGGACATCGGGAACAGCGGCAGATGATCTGATGCCATTTCGAGCTGCTGCGTCCTCGTCTGCTCCATGGCTGTGCGCGAGGAGGCGTCGTGTTGGAGAAGATACGGTTCCGCGCGATCTTACCGAGGTCTGTCCGAAGCTGTTGTGCCTGGCTCAGCAGCCGCGTGTTGGGATGGATGGACCTTTTTCTCGGGCTTCCCCTTCCCCCGCGCCCGCCTGGCTGATCGCTGACACTTCCGTGTGCTACAGGTACCGAGAAGGGCAGCTGATCGTCTCCCCCCGCACACACAAGCATGTTTCGGCCAGTCTTCGGTGACGGAGAGGTAGAGGGTCCCCATACACCCATGTTCTCGTCCTTCGGACTCTCTTCGCAGGATGCGCATCCGAATCAAGGATCGATCTGACCGTTCGAGGGTTCGTACGAATATATAGCAGACCAATCGATCAGCGGGTTCAGTGTGCCTCGACGATCAATAATGTAGATCAGATCCACTTCCGACACCAAGCAAGGACGACCCACTTGAGATCACACACTGACACCATGACTTCCTACGCTACGGACGACAAGGACAAGATCTATACCGAGCATTCGGAGAATGCGATCAGCAGCGACCTCGAGTACCGGGGAGGACAGACCGGTAACGAGAAGCAGGACGCTCAGTACTTGGCCGACGCTATCGAGGCGACCAAGGAGCAGAAGGACCAGGGATTCAAGTCGGCTTTCAGTCAATATGGGTACGTTCGCGCTCAGATCAGACGCATGCTTGGACAGTCGCTAATCAAATTCACCGCCTACGTCCTTGTCATTTAGACCTGCCATGTTGTGGAGTATCGTTTTCTCGTCTGGTGAGTGTTCGAGTTGTAATCTGGACCTGACCAACCTCGAACTGACCGGTCTACGCGCCTTTTCAGCCATTATTATGGAGGGATACGATACCTTGCTCTTGGGTCAATTCTACGCTCAGCCTGCCTTTGCCCGAGTGAGTAACGCATCAGACATCCAATTCACGGACGAAACCCAAGCTGATGACCCCTTCCTGCCTGGCTATAGCGATTCGGAAAGCTGAACCCTGTCAAGGGAATTTACGAGATTCCGACCAAATGGCAGACCTCCCTCGGTGTCTCTACCCAGATCGGAAACATTCTGGGTCTTCAGATCACCGGATGGGCCTCTGAACGATTCGGATACAGGATCACCATGCTCGTCGCCCTCATCTGTCTTACCGGGTTCCTCTTCATCCAATTCTTCGCTGCCAACCTCGGAATGCTGCTCGCTGGTTACCTGTTGCTCGGAGTGAGTCTATTCGCTGGGCATATGGACAGCCAGATCTCGAGCTGATCGACGTTGCGAATCGCGCTTCTTTTCGATTGCAGTTCCCTTGGGGTAGTAAGTCGCGCTACCTGCGAATCTCATACCGACGAGTCGGGCGCTGACCCTTAATCCTCCTCAGCTTTCCAAACTCTTACCGTTTCCTACGCTGCCGATGTCATGCCGGTACGACTGAGGCAATACTTGACGACCTATGTCAACCTTTGTTGGTGAGTCCGGCACCTGCGATGCGCTTCTTTCAAGACCTGCGCTGATGACCTCTTCGTCACTTCAGGGTTATCGGCCAGATCATCAGTTCCGGAGTCAACCGAGCCCTCGTCGGCAACGAGACCGAGTGGGCCTACAAGATCCCCTTTGCCATCCAATGGGTCTGGGTCTTGCCTATCGGACTCGGTATCGCTTTCGCCCCGGAGAGCCCCTGGTGGTTGACCAAGAAGGGTCGATTCGCCGATGCCGAGAGGTCTTTGATGCGATTGACTTCGCGAGGCTCTGGATTCACGGAGGATGACGCCAAGAAGCAGGTCGCCATGATGGACCACACCAACCAGCTCGAGATGGCCTCCACTTCCGGTGTGCAATTTACCGACTGTTTCAAGGGTACCAACTTGCGACGAACCGAGATTGCCTGTATCGTCTGGTTGGTCCAGCAACTCTGTGGAAGGTGAGTCGCGACCTCGACCTCTTTGCCAACGACCGATACTGATGAATCCGCCAATCGTTAGTCCTCTCATGGGTAACGCCACCTACTTCTTGAAGCAAGCCGGTCTCAGCGAGTCCACCGCCTCGACCCTCAACTTGATCATGTTCGCCATCGGAGCTATCGGTACCGTCTCTTCTTGGTGGCTCATGCAGTTCGCCGGACGAAGGACCATCTACCTCTGGGGTTCCGCCACTTTGAACGTCTTGATGTTGGTCACCGGTGTCTTGGGAACGATCAAGTCCAAGGGCGACGGCAAGAACTACGCGACGGGTGCCATCCTCATCCTCTTTACCGGACTTTACGATCTCACCGTCGGACCCGTCTGTTACTCGCTCGTCGCCGAGATCGGATCGACCCGTCTTCGAGCCAAGACCGTCATTCTCGCCCGAAACCTGTACAACATCGGTGGATTGGTCATCAACATCATCAACCCGTACATGCTGAACAGTACCGCTTGGAACTTGGCTGCCAAGTCGGGTTACGTCTGGTTCGGAACCGGTATCCTCGGAACAATCTGGGGTGAGTCGCGAGCGAGAAGCTTAGTAATACCGCAAGAGAGCTCCCTTGAGCTGACCTCTTCCCTTGCTCGTTTACAGTCTTCTTCCGTCTCCCCGAGCCCGCTGGCAGGACCTACGGAGAGCTCGATATCCTCTTCGAGCGCAAGATCCCCGCCCGTCTTTTCAGCAAGACCGAGGTCGACGAGTTCGAGGCCGCCGAGAGGGACGCCGCCAACAACGCTGCTGGAGGTGGACACGCTATCGCTCACTAGATCTCAGTGTTGCCAAAAGGCGGAAGTAAGGTGGAGGGAGTTTTTTTTTCTTTGGAATGGAAGACCGCGGATTCGATTCAAGTGTCAAATTTTGTACTCGCCCGTCATAGGTTATCGTCACATCAGGTTAGGTTAGGTCAGGTTAGGTTAGGGATTGCAAAAGGATTGGATACAATTTGTACCATACGATATTCGACCATGTTAATGCGATATCTATGCTCACCTCATGACGGAATGACAGACGGTCAGCTGCTCGACCTGCTTTTCTTGAATACTGAGGTGATAACTAAGCGCTCTATTGGCGAGAGTGGTATGCTCTGACGTAATTGCGCTCTTACGGCAGCGACGAAAAATCAAGTGGCAATGCTGTTCGCGTTGCAGTTCATGATATATTGATGTCCGTCGAAGGTTTGTGTTGTCGTGATCAGAGCAAGGGAGGAAAGGGCTACGAGCCTGTGAGCCCTTTTGTTAGGGGAGTTGACGGTGTCGCGAGATTACGGCATTCCAGTTACGCGCAAAGCGCCTCGACGTTTCAGGACGACGCGTCTCTGGGTAAGCTCATAGTAATCGCTAGATCGCTACTTTCAACGTTCAGGGGGAAGCCGGTGAAAGGCGAAGTCCGTTTACTGTCCATGTATTCAATCTGTCCCGGGGGAGAAGATACTTGTTGTTGATATATATACCGCGTCTCAGGTCAGCGCTTTTGGCTTCGAAAGTTTCAGACAACAACGCGTGGACGAGATGCTTGCTGTGATAGCTCGGTTACAGCGAGCACATGCGTAATCTCGTCTGCCACTACTAAGGACTACCTTAAGAGGCTTCCCTTCCGGCGATAGAAGATATTGATATCTATGAGAACCTCACTGCTCATGTCTAGACGACCGGCTTTCCGACATGTCGAGCGCAATGTAATATGAGTCGACGATTTCTCGGACGGCGCTCGCGTTGCCGTCGAGCTCGGCCAGATCAGCATCTTCACCGGGTAAATCAGGAAGCTTGAAAGAGTTGCTCCGTTTTACCCCTCAAACCTTGACCTTTTGACCTTTGAACATATCGGTACTGTGCCTATCACCTGAAGGGCAGATCCTGCCCGATGAATAACGACGAAGTAGCCGAACCCAGGTCACGTGACTTTGATCTTTGAACGTGACACCTGCTCTAATCAGCCCGAATCGATGTATCGACCTAGATTTCGAAACGGACTGAGCGGAGAGATGGCTGGACCTAACCTCCTACAGCCTTGGCGTGCATGAGATAGTACAACTCTTCGACATCATGGATATTGATGATTACGAACAACTCTGTGCTGACTGCCTGAGCGAGTCGAGCGACCTCGCAGAGTTCGACCCTCACTTGGAAGACATAGACATCGACGAGGACAACGACGAAATGACCATACAGCTGAAGATTATCTCCGCATCGATACAGAAGAAGAAAAGGCTTGAAGCTGAACAGATCGCAGCAGAGACATTCAAGATGTATAACCTGTTGTGGTTCATGGCTTGCATGACCATCGCTGTCGTCATCCGACTCGCAGCAGAGACATCCAAGATGTGTAACCTGTTGTGGCTCATGGCTTGCATGGCCATCGCTGTCGTCATCCAAGTCGCTCCAAGCATACGAAAGGTCAATGCACAATCACAGGTCAACGACCTGTTCCGCAAAGGCTATATCTCAGGGGTTCTGTACGCTATCAACAAACCAACCGGTCAAAACGAAAGGACTGGTGACCAGCAACAATCCGATCATGAATAACAGACCGGGATAGTCATTGACGTACAGGAAGCTACGAACGCCCTCGCATTCCTGGACAGCCGGGATGCTGCTGCACTAGTGCAGTGTTACGGCGGAAGTCGCTAATGGGCGATAGGTCCTAAGTCGTAAGGCGTAGGGTGCTTAAGGTCGATCGCAGGTAGTCGGGAGAATGTCGCAAGTTCGCTTAGATGAAGCGGGTTTGGGTGCGGGATACGAATCCAGAGATGTATGGATAAGGAAGGTGATCACTCGGTGTGAGGTACCAGATTCGGTCTAAGGTAAAACGATGAAGCGTAGATACTTAGCGACGTCCTTGAGTTGTAACCTCTCCGCAACACGTCTTGAAGATGTTGTAACAAGTCAGATAGGCGTGTATTGAATGTGATATCGGAACTTGACCTATTACTATTACAGAGCGTCCTCTATCGAAATCGGTCAAGTTCCTCTAGCTATTTATACGGAGACGAGTACGTAGACGAGGCTGGCGAACACTGAAAAGACCCAAGAGAAAAGAATGTCGAAAGATGGCGAAACTGGGAGAACGAGATGGCGAACAGACGAATCCTGTCGAGAGCAACCGGATTCGGTAGAGGAGGCGAGTTTGTGTTTGCATTGTCCCTAGGTACGTCGAGTAAGGTTGTCGAGGTTCTGAGTAAGGTTGTCGTGTACCTCGAGGTCCCTGTACCTGTTTGTGATATGCGTCGGGAAGGTTTGTTGTTTCGGTGAATGGTGAAGGCGAATGGTAGGGACGACCGAATCTGCTCCGAGGGAATCGGATTCGCCTCGTCGAGCCGGACTTAGGTGTATGCTGATGTCCGTAGATCGAACCTGTATGTCGGTAATCGACTCACGTGATGATCCCGTAACAGTATATCCCCCTCCGGAATGGCGCGCCCCGAGCCATCGTGTTTCACGTATTGATCGCATCAATTTGTTTGATGATTGTCTACGACGCGTTTGTTTTGATTTGATGGCGACCGATTTCTTCCATTTCGCTAAGGCCCCTCGACTCGCGTCGAGTGGGGGGTATAAGCCGGATCCGTTTCGATTGAAGCGAATTGTGCCCTTCCTTTCTCGAAGATACTCAACGATGCCGTCTCCTGACGTATCTCCCAAGATTGAGGAACGCTCGACTCTTTCTCGAGCCTCGACCGTAAATCCAGGAGACTCGGCTTCTCGTTCGTGCGATTCGAGTCGATTCGGTTTCTTTGCGTAAACTGACCCAATTCCGCTTTGTGTGTAGAAGTCAACCAAGTCTTTTCCGGAGGAATTTTTGATTTCGAAGAACTCCGCAATATGGACGACACGGACGAGGTCGACCAGAACCTGGCCTCGAATATAAGGGGGCTGTCGGTGACCCGATCGGGGTTGGAAGGTAAGCAGATTCGGTTCCGAAAGGCGGTTTCGTTTCGCTGAACTTGTTGGGCTCTTCGCAGGTGGTGAACCGGCTCGTCGGGAAGGGCTCTACGGGGAAGCTCGTAGGCCGACTGGACGCCCGATATCGGGCGAGGACGTTGCCATGACCGGGCAACCTTTAGACTCGGTCGACGAGGAACCGGTTGCGGGGCCGAGTGCGGGTGAGTAAAGCGAATCTGCTTGGATTCTGAATCGATAATTCGTAACCTGATACTATGTCTATTCTTGCTCGATTATAGCTGTCGTGTCGCCGCCCAGGACTCCTCGAGGGAGGTCGATTCAGCGGAGTCGACAAGGCCGACACAGCGCGAGGTCGAGTCGAGGGAGAGGAGCCGCATCGGCGGGTGCGAGGGTCGATGTCGAGAACATCGATTTGGGGGGTGCTCTCGTGCGCCAACGGTCGGTGAGCCCGGAACCCGGTAAGCGTTTTTGTTTGGTTTCTACCGGATCCGGTTCGACGAAGCTAATTTGGATAATCGCGTTCCAGCTCGGCCCATCGACTTCGAGGGCGTACAGCCGACTCGGCGAACGGGTGCAGCGCCTGCCAACTTCTTTGACGACCTGTCGGAGAAGAAGAAGAAGAAGAAGAAGGTGGTGACGTCCGAGGATGAAGATTCGGACTACCGCGACAGCGGTGTACCGGGTGAGTCGCCCGACGCGTCTCCAGGGTCAGCGTACGAACGGCAGATCGAGAGTCGCTATCAAAGAGCGTTCGGGACTCCTGAATTTGCTGGTTCGTACTCGGTACCCGTCGATCGAACTTGTTTCGCTGAACCAGATTTGCTTGATTTTAGCCGAAAGCGAGGGGGCCGACTCGATCATCGATATTGGGGATGAGAGCGTGATCAACATCGGTACGGTCGGCACTGAGGGAGACGAGTTGGCGTCGACGCCTGAGCCCGAGTGGTGGGATAGTGAGTAATATTCGTATTGTTTAAGCGAAACCGTTTGCTTCGAGCTAATCCGCTTTGTAGCCCACGCTGGTATCGTCAACGCTACCGACCAAGAGATCATCGATCACGAGGCGAGGCCCGGCGAGCCTCCTTTCTCGACTCGAGTTGGGACGGCCAGCGAGGTGAAGACCAGGAGGGCGGTGGTAAGCTCGTTTCGCTTGCGTTTAAGCGGATTCGGCTAAATCTTGTTCGTTTCGGTAGTTGCAATCTCGTCGCCTGGCTCGCGCTCAAGCCAAGGAGGGTATCGTGAACGACCCTAAGTGCGAGGACTGCGAGGGGCTCGGGGACGAGGGGTTGAGTTGGGGATGTCGGTCCCGTACGAACGAAAAGTCTGGGACTTTGAAGGGTTGTGCGGAGTGCACTGGTCGGCGAAACACGTGTTTGCTTACCGGACAGCCGATTCCAGAACCTCCCGGCCGAGTTCCCAGCCCCAACACCGCGGCTGCTGCAAATGCAGCCCAACCGACTACTCCTCCGGCGACGAGTAGTCTGCTTCCTCGAGCTCGATGGGAAGCGCAGGTGGTGAGTCGAATTTGTTTCAACGAACCGAATCTGTTTTAACGCAACCGAATTTGGCAGCAATCGGCCAGAGACCGTATTCAGGTCTACGCCGACATGCTCGAAGATGCGGGCATCAAAAAGGGTCTCTCGAAGGCCTTGGAGGACCTCGACAAGGTCCGGGAGGCGATCGCGGCGGAAGGTGACGCGGCCTTCAAGAGGGTTATCAACCCGTTGCCGGCGCCCACACCCAAGAAAAGGAAGACCGGAGTCGTGTCGACTCCGAAGGATTCGAAGAAGTCGGGGGGTAAGTCAACTCCGAAGGGGAAGCAGAAAGAAGCGGATCCGGACGAGGACGAGGAAGAGGAAGAGAATGATGGTCGCCCGCCGAAGCGAGCCAAGAAGGATTGAAGCGGTTCCGCTTCGTCTATAATTTGTTTTTGGGTTTTGTATTTTCTTTCAATCCGAGTCGTTTGATACGATGAATCCTATGCGAGCGATAAGTCCGAGACGAGATCCAGAAGAGTTCAGAACATATGTTTATCCGTATCTCGGTCCAGCCGGGATCGGTTCAATGAAGCGGATTCGGGAAAGTTACGCTTCCCAACCTGGAGGCTTTGGCTTAGTCGGGAACCGAACGTGGAACTCCTCTTGTGCCTCTGCTGTATTGTTGAGATCTTCGAGGGGTACCCAATCTTGTCCTTCAGGTCCCGAATATCCTTTCCATTTGATTAAGTACGCGAATTGGCGTCTCCTGATCCTGCTGTCGATAATCTCTTCGACCTCATACTCGTCATCGTGAGGCGATTCGACAATTGGCCCAGGAGTTTGTACTCGTCCTTCGAATGGATTCTCGTGGTGTGGTTCCAACATGTCGATGTGGAAGACGTTGTGAACCTTGAGTGTGGCCGGCAAGCGGATCCGGTACGCATGAGACGAAATCGCTTCAATGATTTCGTAGGGACCGTATCGCTTGTGATCCAACTTCTTGGTAGGTCGTTTGGTTGCGATGTATTTCGATGAAACATAGACCTTCGATCCTACGGTGAATTCGGGAGGGCTTTGGTGTTTCTGGTCGAAATACTTGGCAGCTCTTTCGTTAGCTGCAGTCATCTGTACTCGCATCTGTTCCCAAACTTCTTTCATATCCCTGGCTTCGATCCTTGCGACGAGAGATTCAGCCCTGTGTTTGTCGAGACTGACGTCGAATCGTGGTTCGTAGCCGAAGGTTGCCATGAAAGGAGAGATACCTGTAGCGCTATGCTTCGCGTTGTTGCAAACGAATTCGGCTAAGGGAAGCAGATTCGCCCAGTTGTCTTGGTGATAACTGCTATAGTGCCGAAGGAATCCCTCGAGGGACTGGTTGACCCGTTCGGTGGCTCCATCACTCTGAGGGTGATAGGCTGTAGTCAGGTCGCTCGAGATATCGAGAAGCGCGGTAAATTCTTTCCAGAATTTCGAAGTGAATTTGCTTCCCCGATCCGAAACGATCCTGTCGGGTAACCCATACTGCGTAAAGACCTCTTTGAGGAAGATCTTGGCTAAGTCCTTAGCTGTAGAGGTTGTCGTAGTAGGTACGAACTTGACTCGCTTGGTGAATCGGTCGGTGATTACCAGTATCGAGTTGAATCCTTCCGAATTTGGTAGTTCTTCCACGTGATCCATGGAAAGATCCGAATTCGGTTTAAACGGAACCGAAAGTGACTTCAATAAGCCATAAGGCTTGTGTCGATTGGTACGATCTCGCTGGCACACCTCGCAAGATGCGACGTAAACCTTCACGAAGCTGCTCAAATCGTTCCAGTAGTAATCCCTTGAGATAAGTTCGATAGTTCGTTCTCTCCCGGGATGTCCAGCCAGCGAAGCATCGTGTCGTGCCTTTAGTACCAAGAGCTTGATCTCCTCGCAGTCAGGGACGTAGATAGCGTCCTTGTACTTGAGGATACCGTTCTTGGTCCAGGACCAGATTTGTTCGTCTGAAGCGGTCTCGCTTCCGGTAACCAGATCTGTTTCGCCCTGTTTCCAGATTGCTCTGAATGCCGTGGAAGCGAATTCATCAGTCAGCGCGATTGTCTTTACCTTGCTGATGATGCGGTCGATGAGATCTCCATCTCCCCCTTTTTCTGGATTCGC